ATTTCTGAGGGGGAAACACAGGAGGCAGAACCTGAGAAAGAAGAGGAGACTCAGAGTGAGGGGGAACCAAGTTCAGAAAGTGAGAGTCTTGACCTCCCTTTTGTTCCTGTGTTTAAAGGGGAACTCAGGAGGAGCAAGAGGAAAATTGTCAAACCTACTGCTTCTACTCTAAAGCCTGTGATTATTGAAGACATTAGTTCTTCAGATCACTCTGACCCTGATTTTACCCCTACACAAGTTCCTTTTGCTTCTGAGCCATCTTCTGTTCATGACTCCCCCCCCAAAACAAGCTAAACCCTCTTTCACTCCTGTTTCACCTCCAAAACAGACTTCTCCCTCTCCCTCCCCAGCTTTTCCTACATCATAGCCTACAGGCTTTGCTACTTTCTCTGCAACAAATGCTTCTATTTTTGATATTCAACAGGTGAAAGCAGAAATGGAGCAGCTGACAAAGATAGTGAGCACAAAGCTGGAGGAAATGGCAAAGCAACTGACTTCTCTTCAACGCCAAGTGCAGGCTGTGGCAGACACTCAGGCAACTAGTTTTACTGGGATGGAGAACAAGGTTGATGCTTCTGAGAAGAACATACTGCACAACATTCAGGAGATATTGGAGATGATTAACAGGGTGGCTTTTGAAGAAGTGGAGGAAGCTTCTAATGACCCAATAAACCCAGCTGATGAACCTACCTATTCCCCATAATTGCAATTTCGAACTTGTCACTTTTAATTTCTTTTGCTTTTGCTTGTTTCATTTGGATTTCAGTTTGTAATTCTTAACTCTTGCTACTCTTTCCTGCTTTTGATTTTCGTCTATGGGAACTTGGCTCGTATTTTTCATATGATTGTGTGCGTTTGCTGATAATTTAGTACCTAACTTATTTTTGCCTTGCATTATTTGAGCTCACTATTCCCTACGTAGTCTAGTGGGAGTATAGCAAAATGTTTTTTTTTTCAATCTTTTGATAATGCCAAAAGGGGGAAAAGACAAACTTCATGGCGGCTAAGGTGTTTACCAAGGAACTCACACATCAAAGGTACAAACTTTTTCTAAGTTCAGTTAACTCAATAAAGTCCTAGTAATCTTAGTTTTTAAAGTCTTTGTTAATTTTTCTTTTGCTCAGTCTTTTTAAAATAAATATATTTTAGTATTTTTCTAAGTTCTTTAATTACTCTGTTTGTTTTTTTGTTTTCATGTTTTGCTTTAAATTTATGTTGCATGCCTGGATTATTTTATTTACCTAAGTTTGTCAATGTTTGTCATCATCAAAAAGGGGGAATTTGTTGACCCTTTTGGTTTTGATGGACAAAATGACAAACTCGACTAATGAACGTTTTGAGTCTTTGGTGAATAAAGGGTTCAAGCAAAGTTCGTTCTGGAGTAGGAACTTGGATGCGGAGTAGCATTCTCTAAAAAGTCTCATGCAAATCTCACGTTCTAGTTTTAATTGTGAGCACACAATAATATAAAGTCGGAAAGGAACTCAATGACTTATGTTATTAAAAAGACTACTGGAATAAAAGTTAGTTTTAAAAGATAATTTCTTAAGGAAAAAGATAATTTATAAAAGTTTTATCTAGTCATCTATTTTCGAATAAAGATAATTATCTAAGATAATTATTTAGTTGTTTTAATATAAATAATTAATTTATCTTTTCAAATAAAATCCTTTTTAAAATAAAATCTTTTTAAACAAACTTTTGATAAAGTTAACAAGCAGTTTCTTTGTTGTGAAAATCTCTGATTATAAGGTTTTATCAAAGCTAATGTTTATCAAGTTGTTGAGATAGTGGATTAGTGAGATAAGGCTAGGAAACCTCCTTCATGATCGCCATCTGTCAAGTTAACTCCACAAGTTGTTAGTGGGGTGTTGGCATGTGGACGTGATTATAGTGGAGGTTAATGACTAAGCCTTCTCTATAAATACTCATGCAAACTATCTCAGAAAAACACAACTCTTGAGCATAAAAATTCAAGTAGCAACCTAATAACATAAAGAGAGTTATTTTCCTTCATATATTCTTGAGTGTAACAGGTATTTGTAATTACAGATTGTATTCAAGCACTTTGGGGTTTGGGATTGTGAGTTTGTGTAAGGTGAGGTCAAGGAAGCTTCGCTGCTGAAGGCTTCTGTGAGAGTTGGGAACAAGTTCCTAATTTGTGGAACTTGTTAACGGGTTTGAATCTTCACTTGTAAAGAGTTTGATTACATAGTGGAAATTTAGAAAAGCTTATATCTTCTCTCGTCATTATTTCATTTAGTTAAATTCCGCAAAAGTTTTTAGATTTCACCTCAAATACAATTCACCCCCCCTCTTGTATTAGCCGGTTAGACTTTCACCCCCCCCCCCCCAATTTAGAAGGAAAACATTTTCCATCACAAGTGGAGGGACTCACAATTGAATTTTCAATTCAATCAAACAATGGAAAATGCTTAAAATGAAAAATCATTTTTCATTCAACCAAACAACGGAAAACTTTTTTGAAAATGAGTTTTCCATTTTAAAATGATTTTCATGGAAAACCATTTTACATTGAAAATGTTTTACACCCTACCAAACGGATCCTTAATGAAAAGTTATCGATTTAAAATATCATGTAATAAACAATTTTTGTTTATTTCACTAAGATAAACTTGTATTTTCCTACCAAACGGATCCTTAATGAAAAGTTTGAGATGAGCATGATGGGGGAACTCAACTTCTTCCTTAGGCTCCAAATTAAGCAAACTAACGAAGGAATAATGATCCATCAGCAGAAATATGTGAAGGAGTTATTGAAAAAATACAGTATGGAAAGCACAAAGATAAACCACACTCCCATGGGAACAACCACAAGGTTGGACCAAGACCCCAAGGGAACTCGTGTGGACCAAACAAAATACAGAGGTATGATTGGTTCCTTGTTATATTTAACTGCTAGCAGACCTGACATTTCCTTTAGTGTAGGTCTTTGTGCAAGATTTCAATCGGATCCAAAGGAATCGCATCTAACAGCCGTCAAAAGGATTCTACGATACTTAAAAGGGACGGAAGACTTGTGTCTGTTCTATCCAAAAAGTGACTCGTTTGACCTAAGAGGATATGCTGATGCTGACTATGCAGGAGATTTAGTAAATCGTAAAAGCACGTCAGGTATGGTCCAATTCTTAGGCTCTTGCATGGTTTCTTGGAGTTCCAAGAAACAAAACACTGTTGCTCTATCCACTGCCGAAGCAGAATATGTGGCTGCTGCTGCATGTTGCTCTCAATTGCTATGGATAAAACAACAGTTGCATGACTATGGCATTATTTTAGAGTGCGTTCTTATTCATTGTGATAACACAAGTGCCATTTGCATCTCTAAAGATCCAGTACAACACTCTAAAGTTAAGCATATACATGTAAGGCATCACTTTTTGAAAGATAATGTTGAAAAGGGCTTAATTAAGCTAGATTTTATTTAAACTGAATGTCAAATTGCTGATATATTAACTAAGCCTTTAAGCAGAGACAAGTTTGAAAAGATGCGTGTGGAATTGGGGATGCTACTGCTCAAGTGATTTTTGTTTGGAACCCCTAAGGTAAAATCGGATGTAACTAACAATGCTATGCTCAATCTTGTGTGCATAACACAGCTGAAATTACCCAGGGGAAAGATTTGTGAAGTATTGAAAAGTCACTTATACATACTTTTAATATGTTAAAAATATTGAGCCATGTTGTTTCAAGTTCCCTTTTCATCATTCTTTATTCTCTGTATTATGATCACGTAAATTATCATCATAATTTACAATCAATTTGCACTTATCTATCTTTTTTAATTTTTTTTTCTGTTTTCCTTCTTGTTATTATTTTTTTTCCTTCCTTATTTTTTTTATCTTTTTATTCTTATCTTTTTCCTTCCTTATTTTTTTCTATGTTCAATTCTTTTTCTATTCCTCATATAATTCAAAAATACAAAAAGATTTTTTTCGTAAGATAAGGAGCTAGAATATTCACTACTCCTTACTTTCCGTATATTTCTTATCTTTTAAAATTTTATCTTTTATTGTGTTAAGTTTGAAAATTGCAATTAATCCACCCTATTAAAATCCTACTACCTCTAAAACTACTCTACTACCTCACCATATAAACCGTCACTTTTTCTCACCCTTCCCAATTAAACTCTTTTTCTTTAACACTCCACCCTCACCAATCACATCAAATTAACTTCTCCATACACCCTCATAAAAAAAAAATAAAAAAAAAAAACCGGCCTCACTCTCTCTCCTTCCTATTCACACTATTCATCTTCTCCTTCCTTTCAACTCACCTTCATAACCATGAAAACCAACCTAAACTCAACACCGAAACCACCAAAAACCCGAATACCTCCTCCCAAACCTTCCTCTGCTGACGGCTCCCCTGAACCAGTCCCAATTGCCGTCGTTCACCCACAAGCTCCACCAAAAAGAAAGGCTACAACCGTGAAAGGAGGCGACAGGAAGAGGCGAAGCTCTCAAAAGTTTCCATCTTGGAACTACACTCACGGCTATCACATCATTTATGACTGGTGTACGGCAAGTAAGTTCTCCGAATTCACCTCCTTAATTGATTATCAAGAATGGGTGCATTTGTTCCAAAATTGTTCTCACTATCCAATTTACCCTAAGCTTCTGTTTGAATTTAAAAATACTTTCAAACACAACAATGGTGTATGCACGGCTACAGTCAAAGATACTCACATTCATTTTGATGTTGCATATTTAGGGAACTTGTTTCAAGTCCCCACCTCTGGCTATAGTTCGTACCTAAAACACAAACAAATTGTGCAAATTGGGCATTATGATGAGAATAGAATAATCAAATTTATAGGTGGAAACCCGAAAAGCAAGACTTCACATCATAACATACTCACTCCTCTTCACAAATTACTGTTCAACTTCACATGGAGAGGCATTGTTCCCCGTTTACAAAAATGAAGCACAGTATCCTTACTAGATGCAACCATCATCTTTTGTCTTTCTCGGAAAATAAAAATGAACTTTCCAAAACTGATGATTGAACATTTGGTTTTCTATGCTGCTAAAACTACTATTCCATATGGATCTCTCCTTACTGTGTTGTTTAAGTCTTTTGGGATTGATGTTGAAAGTGAGTCACCCACTTATATTAAACCTGAGAACATTCTTTCGAAACAATCTTTGCTTCGCCTGAGCCTTAAACTTGAGAGTGGGATAATTACTTTCTTGACTAGAGGAGGAGAGGAGAAAAATAGTGGAAAAGGGAAAACACAGGTTGTAGAGGGAGATACAAGTGAGTCAGAAGAGGAGGAAAGTGAATCTGAAAAAGAAGAAAGTAAAGAAAAAGGAGAGGAAGACAAAGAGGAGGAAGAAATTTCTGAGGGGGAAACACAGGAGGCAGAACCTGAGAAAGAAGAGGAGACTCAGAGTGAGGGGGAACCAAGTTCAGAAAGTGAGAGTCTTGACCTCCCTTTTGTTCCTGTGTTTAAAGGGGAACTCAGGAGGAGCAAGAGGAAAATTGTCAAACCTACTGCTTCTACTCTAAAGCCTGTGATTATTGAAGACATTAGTTCTTCAGATCACTCTGACCCTGATTTTACCCCTACACAAGTTCCTTTTGCTTCTGAGCCATCTTCTGTTCATGACTCCCCCCCCAAAACAAGCTAAACCCTCTTTCACTCCTGTTTCACCTCCAAAACAGACTTCTCCCTCTCCCTCCCCAGCTTTTCCTACATCATAGCCTACAGGCTTTGCTACTTTCTCTGCAACAAATGCTTCTATTTTTGATATTCAACAGGTGAAAGCAGAAATGGAGCAGCTGACAAAGATAGTGAGCACAAAGCTGGAGGAAATGGCAAAGCAACTGACTTCTCTTCAACGCCAAGTGCAGGCTGTGGCAGACACTCAGGCAACTAGTTTTACTGGGATGGAGAACAAGGTTGATGCTTCTGAGAAGAACATACTGCACAACATTCAGGAGATATTGGAGATGATTAACAGGGTGGCTTTTGAAGAAGTGGAGGAAGCTTCTAATGACCCAATAAACCCAGCTGATGAACCTACCTATTCCCCATAATTGCAATTTCGAACTTGTCACTTTTAATTTCTTTTGCTTTTGCTTGTTTCATTTGGATTTCAGTTTGTAATTCTTAACTCTTGCTACTCTTTCCTGCTTTTGATTTTCGTCTATGGGAACTTGGCTCGTATTTTTCATATGATTGTGTGCGTTTGCTGATAATTTAGTACCTAACTTATTTTTGCCTTGCATTATTTGAGCTCACTATTCCCTACGTAGTCTAGTGGGAGTATAGCAAAATGTTTTTTTTTTTCAATCTTTTGATAATGCCAAAAGGGGGAAAAGACAAACTTCATGGCGGCTAAGGTGTTTACCAAGGAACTCACACATCAAAGGTACAAACTTTTTCTAAGTTCAGTTAACTCAATAAAGTCCTAGTAATCTTAGTTTTTAAAGTCTTTGTTAATTTTTCTTTTGCTCAGTCTTTTTAAAATAAATATATTTTAGTATTTTTCTAAGTTCTTTAATTACTCTGTTTGTTTTTTTGTTTTCATGTTTTGCTTTAAATTTATGTTGCATGCCTGGATTATTTTATTTACCTAAGTTTGTCAATGTTTGTCATCATCAAAAAGGGGGAATTTGTTGACCCTTTTGGTTTTGATGGACAAAATGACAAACTCGACTAATGAACGTTTTGAGTCTTTGGTGAATAAAGGGTTCAAGTTTTAACTCAAGACTTGTTAATTGTTGATTTTCCTTCATATTTGCCCTTTGTGCTTCCACAACAGCATCACTTCGCCACTTGCTAAATATAATATCCAGATATCTAGTAAAATTTATGGGTGGCAATATATTATACCATAGTTTTTCCCAACTATAAATAAATCTATTCTTTCAGAGATGTCATTTTTCCTAATCCTGTCGACAAATCACTCAAACCGCTCCCAGTAATTCCCAAGTGCCTCAAGCTCTCCAATTTACAATAATCTCCTGGCAACTCTCTAAGATTCTCGCACAACACAAGGTTAAGTGTTTGCAGGTTCTGTAATCTTGTCATGTCATTAGGAAGACATTTAATTTTTCCATATTTTGCAAGATTAAGGTATCTTAGATGTTTCAACTTCCCGGCCTATAGAATTTGGAACAATGGAAAATTCTATGTACTCTAAGTCTAAGACACGCAAAGAGTGAAATTTCAAAATCAGTACCATTTCAAGAGATGAAAGATTAGCACTGACAAAATCTGTAGATACTACCAGTGACCGCAACTTTGTAGCAGCAAGCAATGGCGGGGTATTCCCATAATCCACCATCTTCTGTCTTTGTCATTTTAATACTCACAAGCACAAGTCCATCAGCAGAAGATATTTGGTCTACAGGCTCAACCAATTGTTTCATCTCTTCATCAGCAATATATTGAGCCAAGTCATGCACTAAATCGTGCATTTTGCAGTATTCGTCACCCTCATCTTCTCAGTGATCTTGAAATAAATTCCTCCCAATCAATTCCGTAAAGTATTCTTCTCCGGTGTCTATGCTTGATGGATCAATATATCCTTGCGCCATCCACAATTTAACCAAATGATTCAATACTATATTCATGGTCCTTTGGGAACAATTAACAATAAGCAAAGCATTGCTTTAATTCTGGTGGCAAGTAATCATAGCTTAACTTCAACACTTCCATGATGTTATCACCTCCCTTCCCCTTTGCCTTTGAGAGTTGAGCCTCTCTGATTCGTTGCCAGTGTTTCTCACTTCTTTCAGAGTAGAGAAGACTTCCAACAACCCTAATAGCAAGAGGAACATTTCCACAACTAATTACGATCTCCTTCCCAATCTGAACCAAATTAGGATTACTCTCCTCTTTCTCTGATACAAATGCAATTTTTTTAAAAAGATTCCAAGACTCCACTTCTGTAAGAAGTCCTAGATTGTGGGGTTATGTTGTCCCGACAGCTTTTGCAACGTTAGCAGAGCGTGTTGTTACAATAACTCCACTCTCACTTGAACCACAATCGAGCAACCTTAGAAGATCTAACCAATGATCCCGACTCTCATCCCATATGTCATCTAAGACAAGCAGATACTTCTTATCTGTAACTGATTCTCAGATGCTTGACTTAATATGATCTACTGGGGTTTGACTAGTATACTTACTGTTTCAGTCAGAAAACAATGGGCCTTCAACTGGCCCTTCGGATGAGTGGGGATGAAGCCCAATTCGAGTGATAACCGAATTGGGGATTTCCTGCACAGCAATGCAAATGTAAACTAGCCTCGGGGGTGTGCCGAGGAAGGCCCCTCCGATGCCGAAGTCAGTACAGATGCACAAGTATTAGAGAAAAGCTATGCAAGAGTATTTGTTGCTTGAGGCATTTAATGTGAATGAATGTAATTGTGTTAAAATGAAAGCTTTTATACCTTTGTTCCATAAGCTAAATTGGGCTTGATCAATCAAATGGGCTGCCACATGATTGGGCCTTGTTACTATTGACTTGGCAAATACATTGGAGGGTTGGACCTTATTGCTTGGGCTTTAACTATTTTCATTTGTGGACTGGGCCAGATTGTTAGCATTTTGGACCCCAAACAACTTGCCCCCCAGACCCGATTCATGAGGATAACGGGTCGGGTTTCAGCAGCTGAAGGATTTGGAGGGAAAATAAATGAAAATAGTTTAAATATTTTTGACAATTCTATACGGTTAATGTAACCGTTAATAATGATTAATTAACCTTAATGACGGTTAATTAAGGATAGTGGGGAAGTGGAGTGGATTTAGTGGGAAATTAAATCCAGGCAGTTTTGTAATTGGTTTGAGGAGAATTTGAAGAGTTTGCAACTGACATTAAGTGAGTGGGTTTTTGCGCCGAGTATATAATTCGCATTTAGCATAATTATTTCCGGCATTCCCAAATCAGACACACTTTGCATTTCACTCTCATTTTTCCAGCGAACTCGCGCAAGCTCTTCCTCTCTTTTATCAATTTTCGACTTTTCAGAAGCTTTTCAGCAGAATTCGTTGCTCCGAACTGCTAAATCGGCGAATTCCGAGTCAGATAAAGGTAATTTTCTCCGAATTTCATTCGGATTTTCCCTTCTTTTAAGCTTTTCCCCTTTTTCCTACTTTTTTCGCGTTGCCGTCGACCTAGCAATGGTCGGCAACCCTGGTAAAAGACCAATGGAGCCTGAAGACGAGGACATTGAGGAGGAGGTGCCGCAACTAATTCGGAAGAGGAATCATCCTCTGCCCGTTATGCCGTTTTTGAGCGGCCGAAACCCTAACGCCCGAATCGAGGTTGGTTCATCCTCGAGTGGGGAGGGATTAAGGGTTATTCCGCTAAACAGTGCCCCTCCTAGAGATCCAGCTGAAGCAAGTACTTCTGACCGAAAGGGTCCTACTAGATCTCGGCCCCTAACCCCTGAAGAGAGGGAATGGACCGATGAATATGAGAACGATGGTCTGCTGAAGACCGAGCCAGCCGAATGGTGGCTAGCAAATGATGCTCGGTACCATTTTGCCGAGCAGCTGGAGGTTTATTATGGCATAATGGAAGCCGATGGGTATTGGTGCCGAATGCCCACGGTACTGGAGAGAATCTATCGGCCCCCTCCTGGTTACATTAGGGTTTATGTTCGGCAGCTGCAGTTCGGGTTGCGATTCCCAGTGCACCCCTTCGTCACCGAAGTTCTGAATGGGTACAATATTTCATTGGCCCAATTGACCCCTGTCAGCATCAGGAGGATCATGACCTACCTTTGGGTGTGCATCTTCTACGGGCTGCAGCCAAGCGTTCATTGCTTTAGATGCATTCATAAGCTATCGCCGAACACCCAGTCCAGCAGAGTACATGGTCGTGGTTGGTGGCACATAGAAGATAAGAGGGGCTACCTGACCTGCTATCCGAACGATACCTCGGATAAACACTGGCGGGAGCAGTGGATCTGGGTCCGAGCTCCTTCAGATGAGGGCCACCCTAATTATTTCGGGGGGCCTCGCTATGTCAGGAAGCCAGACCCATCCATGTCGAGCATCGGCGACGACGATTTCACTGAGGCTGATCGTATGCAGATGGAGCTATTCGGCAGATCCACTAACCCTGGTGCAACAGGCCGAATGACAATTGTGCCTACCGTCTGGTTGCCCTGCTACCATTACATCTTCCAAGAGAAGATGTTAGCCGTTGCAGGCCTCAGCCGAAGATACCAAGGTGGTAAGTGATTCGGCTGGGGCCGAGGCATTAATTTCCTGCTTTTTATGTTTTCTCGATCCGAAGCTTTTTGCTTGAACCTAACGCTTTGCTCTGATATTTTTTCACCTATATGCGAAGAGACTTCTGGCATCAACTACGATTTGCTGGGGATCAGCCAGACCAGAGAGCCAATCACCAACACTCCTCCCATCACAGCTGTGAAGGATCGGCCACTGACGTTGCAGCCGAGGAAGCTCAAGGTGGTTAGCGCCTTTGAGTATCCGGCGCAGAAGCCTTGGTACAAGAAGATCGACCCTTTCTTCTTACTCTCAGCTGAAGAGGAAGCTGCTGCTGCTGCTGCTGCTGAAAGAGGTGACATACAGACACCGCCTCCTCCATCCAAGCCTATCAGAGAGGAAGATTCGGAGTCCGAAGATACCAAGGAGTTGTTTGGTCCCTCGGTTAGTCCTTTACTTATTGACTTGCTCAGTTTTATATATTCGGCATCTTGATTGTTTGACTTGCAAAGCATTAATCTGAATATGTCGATGCGTAGCTTCAGCTTCTGAGCATGCATGTTACACGTAGCTTTCTTTGAATTTGCACATAGATTCTGCTAAGTGTAGTTCTTCGGATGCATCTCTGTCTGATAGTTTTATTTTGCTAAAACTGCTCATTATGTGGCTTCGGCCAAAACATCTGTGTGCTTCTACTTGCTTTGCCTCTTTTTTTTATCTTCTACTCATACTCTTGCCCCCTCTTTCTTTGCTTCTGCAGTCCGAGGAGGAAGAAGAGGTAGAGAAAGAAGAGCCTGCCCCCTCTGAACCTGTTGCCGAGGATATGGCTGGCGGAAGGAGAAGGCCCCTGGTTCGGCCTGGCCAATTCAGAGCACCAGAGCTTCCTGTGAAAAGGCCTCAGCTAGCAGAGGTCCAGGAAGAGGTGGTTGAGGTTACTTCCCCCTCTCGGGAAGTTATCATGGAGGTGGTCGATGTGCCTGACCCCTCGTCTCCTCGTCACATGCCTGAACCGTTTTCTACAGAGGTTCAGCACGAGGTTGAAGTGTTGTGGATCCAGGATGAGGATCCGAAGCTTGCGGAGGGAGAGGGCGAGCCGCGGCTGAACGACGCTGCAATGTCCGCACATACGAACATCCCTTCCAGTTCAGCTGCGACCTCCTTCCGCACTTTTCAGTCAGCTGAGATGGGGTTCGGCTCAGCGCCTTTGGTCCCTGTTCCTAGCCATGCCCGCGCAATCATTGAGGATAGGCGTGATTATGCCCTTTCCTATTTCGGCAATCTGGGCAATCTTTCGGTCGTTGAAAGGGCCAAGGCCTGGATGCAGGGCGCTGCTGCGAGAGCTGCTGAGTCTTTGGAAAGCGTGCCCCATCCTCTTCTGGAGAACCAAAGGGTTCTGATGCAGGTACCCTACTTACACTTGCATTTTTCTTCTTCTTCTTTTTTCTTTTTTTTTTTTTTTTTTGCAAGTGTTGGGCTTTGGCTGACTGCATAGTCTGCTACTGTTGGGTTTTATAGGCTGTTCACAATCATTTCCTTGCTGTGGAAATGTTTGACGAGCTTCAAAGCAAAGCAGCCAAGGTTGAAGAAGCTGAGACTCTGGTTCGGCTAGCTGAGCTGAAGCAGGCAAAGGCTGAGGACGATGTCTCAGCTGCTAAGCAAGAGATGCAGAAGATGGAAGAGAACTTCCGCACCTTCAGCCGAGGCCTGGAGCAGATAGTCTTTCCTTGGCTCGAGGAGGGCCAGTCCCTCATGAAAGAGTTCGGAGCTAACACCCTCGCTGAGTTCCGGGCTCGGCTTGAGGCCAAAACCAAGGAAGACGCTAATGCTCAACAACTTCTCATCTCTGCCCATGAGCAGCAGCTGGCCCAGGTTCGGGAAGAGGCTAAGAAAGAAAGAGATGATCTGCTAGCCGCGAACCAGAAGCTGAAGGATGACTTGGAAGCTCAAAAGACCGAGCTGCTGGATGCCAAGGAGCTACTCAAAACCAGGATCTACACCGAAGCTGAATATGGTGAAGGTTTTGAGAACGGTTGGAAGACTGCTCGGCGCTTGGCTCTGCACGCTGCTCCTGACATGAACTGGGACCAGGTCGAGGCTTGGTCAATGGATGCTGACAACCCTCGGATCCACGAGGCTAGCCAAGCTGAGATTGACTTCCTAGTCCGCCAGGCTGAAGCTGAAGCTAGGGAGGCTGAGGAGGCTGCCAAAGAGGCTGAAGCTACTGGTCCTGCCTCCTCTTCAGTAGGGGTGAAAGTTCGGTATTCGGTTTGGATTATACCCCAAACCGAATCCAAACCGAATTATTTCGGTTTCTGATTCTTGGAACCGAATCCAAACCGAATTTGGATTCAATCCAATACAATCCAAACCGAAATAATTCGGTTTTGAAAAATGGATCCAATCCAAACCGAATTTTTTTTGGGCTGTTGATTTGGGCCTTAAAATTGGGCTTTTAATCGGAAGTTTGTTTTGGCCCTTTTGTAGGCCTAAATTGGTGAATTACAATGGTTGGTCTTTAAGCCAAAAATTTGCCAAATTAAGGGAAAATCATAATAAAAAAATTTGTCCAGCCACTAGAATAAAATTACAAACACGATAAAAGTCTTAAAATGGAATAACAGTCTACAATGAGTCTACATGCAGCTAAAACCATAATAACATCAACTAAAATCAATATGGTAGATTGACAGCAGCTAGAATCAACATGGCAGGCAGCAACTTCTTCATTTCTTCAACATGGGTAATTCCCCGGTTTCGGTTTTGGTCATGGCTAACAATGAGCTAGGAGGGTGCATTCCCTCTAGCATTGGTGACATGGGGTACACCTTAAATGAGATTATAATGTCCAACGATAATCTCTCAGGATGTTTACCCGAAGAAATCGGTAACCTCAAACACGTAACGGTATTCGATGTGAGCTACAACAATTTATCTGGGTCACTGCCACTAACCATTAATGGAATGGCTAGTGTGGAACAATTAGATGTGGGTTACAATCAATTTACTGGTGTTATCCCAGAAGCTATTTGCTTGCTTCCAAACCTCCAAAACTTCACATACTCCCACAATTACTTCACTGGCGATGCACCCTCGTGTTCCGTCTCGGCCGGGGCCGGTAAGGTTATCGATGGATCTCAAAATTGTATCATTGGTGAGGCGAATCAAAGGTCCGCTGAGGAGTGTGCCTCACCATTGGCTACACCCGTTGATTGTTACTCATTTGGTTGTATTAAGAAGCCTGTGTATACGCCTTCGCCATCATATACTCCTACCTATTCACCACCACCTTACACTCCAACTTACTCACCATCGCCGTCTTACACTCCAACTTACTCACCATCGCCGTCATACACACCACCTCCAACTTCTTTCGGTGGAGCATCGTCAGGGTCATACTCACCGTCTCCGTCGTACACACCATCACCAGGGTACAACACACCGTCAACTCCAAGCTATAATACTCCTTCCCCATCATACCAACCACCAACACCACCAACCTACACTCCTTCACCAGATTACTACTACTCCTCACCTCCACCACCGTCAACACCGTCTTACAACACTCCCAATTATCCACCTTCATCATTACCCCCACCACCACCACCCGCCTCAGGGTACACTCCTTCCCCTGCATACTCAACACCCCCTCCAGTAGGATACAATAGTCCATCGTATTCACCATCGCCATCAAACACACCACCATTAACCCCTACATATTCACCATCGCCGTCTTACAGTCCCCCATCCACGACCCCTTCATATATCTAACAATAAAAAAAAATAAACATGTTACATAATATATATAAATAAATCAAAGGAAATCAATATAATCAAACAAACAAAACATCAATGTCGCCAATTTAAACATTATAGCATATCAATGTCATCATATTAGCCAATTTCGAACAGATCGAACAACAAATTAACGAATTCAAACAGAACAGAACTATTGAATGAAAACTTGAAAAGAGAAGTGGGAAATGAGTACACATCTAAGAAGAAGAAAAGCAGGAAAAGATAAGTGAAATTAACAGAACGAAAGTGAAATTAATAAGAAGAAGAGAAGCAAAAAAGGAGAATTCTTACCCTTGAGTGACTGAGTGAGAGGAGATAGTGAGGGAACGCGAACACGAGCGGCGCCGCGGCGGTGAACTGGTGGTAATTTTAGGGAGCACAAAACCACGAACACAAGCGGCGGTGAGAAACGAGATCTGCGGGAGCACGAAGCCACGAACACAAGCGAACTGATGGTGATAGACGTTGACCGGATATGTGGTGAGCGGACTGAGGAAGGTGGTGGTCGGAGCTACTGAGGTGGTGAGGGAGAAAATGGGGAAATTTTGGAGGATTAGGGTTTGGTGAGGAATGTGCCGCAGAAGAGGGGAAAAAAAGACTGGGATAAGAGAGGAGTATTTTAGGGCTTTAGTATATATATGTAGGGTAGGAGAAATGGGCTGGGATATTTGGGCTTCATAAATTTCGGTTTGGATTTTCGGTTTTCGGTTTTTGGAAGCCCAAAACCGAATCCAAACCGAAATATTTCGGTTTTGATTTTTTGAAACCGATCCAAACCGAAAACCGAAAAAAAACCGATCCGAATTGCTATTTCGGTTCGGTTTGGATCGGTTTTCGGTTTTTATCCAAATTACTTTCACCCCTACTCTTCAGATGGGGCTGGTCCATCTGGAGTTCCAGGGAATGCTGAACCATAGGAACTCGGGCAGCCGTCTTCTGAGTCCTGCGGATCAACATGTGCTTAATTTGTAAACGCCGCATCAGCTTTTGCCTGTTTTTTTGTTTCAGCTTGCCTTTGTACAAACTTTTTATCTGTTTTTGTGTACTTTCGGCAGCTGTGTTTTCCGCTATGTAGGCGGCTGCCGACTTTGAATTTCTGTAATTTTCAAATTTCTGAATTTGGTTTCTGTAACTCATACTCAATATTTGTGATTTTTCAGTTTCTGGTGAATGAAATAGAATTTTTAGCTGTTTTCTCTTCTTCCGCCTGCTTTTCTATCTTTGCCTTTGGCTGTCCTCTTTCTGAACTTTTTCTAAATTTGGCTAAGTACAAAGCTTCGGCTAAGAGTTTTTCAGCTAAAAACACTTGATTTTTCATGAGATTTTCTCAAGTGCCAAGGGCTTCAGACAAGAGCTTTCATAGAGCCTCAGATAGGAACCCCACGCGTAGGCGCCCTCTGCTCCCCCAGAACCTTGAAGATGATGTTTGCTGGGTTCTGAGTGCTACTGAAGCTTTGTTACCGCTTGCACATATACGTTTATTCCTTGCGCTCCCGTTAATTCTAACTCATCCGAGGGAACGACGACTTAAAACATAATGGTAGGGCAGTGATCATCTGAAGCACAAGGCGTAATTTACGCAATACTTCAGAGGTGCAATCACCACCCGAAATTGACTGGCCGACGCACAAGGCATTATTATGCAATGCTTCGGGCCTTCTGCCAATTCCTATTTTCGGCTATGTCCTAGATGAGTCTATGGCCTCTTTGCCGAGGGCAGTAAATCCATCCGAGGTACAGTGCATCATAATGCAATACCTCGAGGTTCTATTTACCACTCGTACTGGCAGGTTCTCCGGCTTGCTGAAGCACAGTACATCACGATGCAATGCTTCAGACAGCACCGGGCGTAAACCTTGAAATAATTGTGGCAGGGACAGGAATAATGGAAACAGAATAAAATTGTGAATAATCGTGGCTCAAAGGCCTTTCATTAATCTGAAGGAAATATACTTACACAGATTTTTCAAACATGAAATTTTCTAAGTACATCTGCGTTCCAGTGGTTTTTCAACTCAGTTCCATCTAACTGTCGAAGGCGATAAGTTCCTGGTTGGAGTTCATCGTATATTTCATAAGGCCCTTCCCAGTTAGCTGAGAGCTTCCCATGAATGCGGCTTTTCTGAACAGCGGCGGCATTCCGAAGGACCAAGTCCCCCACTTTAAGGGGTCTTGATTGGACCCTTCGATTGTAAAATTTACTAATTCTTTGCTTGTATGCCGCCATTCTATCCCTCGCTGAGTCTCGGATCTCATCTAAGAAATCGAGGGACTCTTTCATGAGGTGCTCATTTTCTTCAGCCGAGAACTGGTTGACTCGGAGGCTTTCTGAGCCAATTTCCACCGGCAAAACGGCTTCAGACCCATACACCAATTCAAAAGGTGAATGCCCCGTGGCCTCTTTTTCAATTGTCCGAAGTGACCATAGAGTTCCAGGAAGTTCCTCTATCCACTTGGACTTTTGATCTTCAACTCTCTTTTTGAGAGCGTTGAGTATCTGTTTATTTGCAGCTTCGGCCTGGCCATTACTCTGAGGATGACAGACTGCTGAGTACGCCAGTTTTATGCCGAACTGATTTGTGTACCGCCTCAGCGGCAGATTGTCAAATTGTCTTCCGTGATCGAAGACGAGCACTTTTGGGATGCCGAAGCGCGTGATGATATTCTGCCAGATGAACTTCCTGACAGTTTGCTCAGTTATATTTGAAGCTGCTTCAGCCTCTATCCATTTGCTGAAGTAGTCTATTCCAACTATCAGCCATTTTTCTGGTAGGGAGCCTCGGGGAATGGTCCTAAAATATCCAACCCCCATTGAGCGAAGGGTAGTGAATTCAGTATCGGCTAAAGGTTTCTTGAAGGCCTGTGAATGACAAGTGCAAATTTTTGACATCTTTCACATTTCCGCACCAATTCCTTAGCGTCTTGAATCATAGTTGGCCAATAGTACCCTGCCCGTAGTGCCTTGTGGGCTAGGGCTCTTCCCCCAATGTGGTTTCCACAGATGCTAAAGTGGATCTCCCGAAGGACGTAATCCGCATCCGTTGGACCCACGCATTTCAGTAGCGGGGCTGAGAAGGATTTTTTCAGTAGCTCCCCCTTGTAGACGATGAACCTTGAGGCTACCCTTTTTATTTTTGCTGCTAAGTTCTTATCCTCGGGCAACGTCCTTTGCAGCTTATAAGCCAAGATGGGGTCCATCCAGCTAGGCTCCACCTCAGCACACTGAACCTCAATTTCTGGGTCGATGCTTTTGGTTCGGCGCACCTCCACATATACGGACCGATTCAGCTCTGTAAGAGTTGAACTTGCGAGTTTAGAGAGTGCATCGGCTTGAGCATTCTGACCCCTTGGGATCAGCTCGGTCTCAAAAGTTCTCAGCTTCGCTATAACTGATTTGATCTTGGCAAGGTAGGAGATCATGGAGGGTTCTTTGGCCTCATACTCGCCCCGAATCAAGTTAGCGACTAGCTGAGAGTCTGTCTTCAGACAGACATGTTCGGCTTCGAGAGCTATGCACAATTCCAAGCCAGCAACTGCTGCTTCATATTTTGCTTCGTTGTTAGAAGCCTTAAATGAGAACTTGAGTGCATACTCGAAGTTTTTGCCCTCGGGAGAGGTGATCACCACCCCAGCTCCCGAGCCATTTACGGTGGTTGAGCCATCCGTGAATACTGTCCAAGTCCCCTTCCCTTCGTCGAGTATTTCCTGATAGGAACATTCGGCTAGGAAGTCTGCTAAGGCCTGGGCTTTTATTGCTGCCCTCGGCTGGTAGCTTATGCTGAACTCGGTGAGTTCGAAGGCCCACTTTTTTCCACCTTGCCGAGGACTTTCTCCAGCGGTTGATCCGTTAGGACCACGATTTGATGTGAATCAAAATAAGGCCTTAACTTCCGAGCTGCTACCACCACTGCATATGCGACTTTTTCGAGCAAAGGGTAGCGTGTTTCGGCATCAGTCAAAGTATGACTGACAAAGTAGATCAGTTGCTGGACTTTTTCCTCTTCCTTCAGCAGCACCGCACTCACCGTAGCAGGGCTAACCGCCACGTATAAGTACAAGATCTCCCCTTCGGCTGGTCTTGCCAGCGTCGGAAGATTTTCCAGGTGCTCCCGGAGCTGCTGGAAGGCTTCTTTCTGCTCATCTTCCCATATGAGCTCCTTCGATTTCGGAAATTTAAGCGCCTTGAAGAAGGGCAAGCCTTTGTCCGAGGCTTTTGAGATGAACCTGGACAAGGCGGCCATTCTCCCCGTAAGGCGCTGAATATCCCTTTTTGTCTTCGGCTCGGGAAGGTCAAGAGCTGCTTGCACTTTGGTGGGATTGGCATCAATCCCCCTCTTGCTGACCATGAAACCTAGGAATTTCCCAGACCTCACGCCGAAGACACATTTCTTCGGATTCAGCTTCATCTGGTGCTTTCTCAGGGTGGCGAACGTTTCAGCTAGGTCCGCAACATGATCTTTCGATGGAATCGTCAACATAGACTTCCATGTTGCGGCCTTTTTGTTCGGCAAACACCTGGTCCACCAACCTCTGATATGTAGCCCCGGCGTTCTTCAGGCCGAAGGGCATCATTTTGTAATTATACACCCCGGCGCTTGTAACAAATGTCGTTTTTGCTCTGTCATCGGGGTGCATGAAAATCTGATGGTACCCAGAAAATGCGTCCATGAAGCTGAGCAGAGCATGGCCACTTGTCGAGTCAACCAACTGGTCAATTCTCGGCAAGGGATAGAAGTCCTTCGGACAAGCCCTATTCAGATCCGTGAAGTCAACGCACATTCTCCAGGAGCCATTAGCTTTCTGAACCATTACTACATTCGCCAGCCATTCAGGGTATTGGCAGGGCTCAATGAACCCTGCGTCTAGAAGCTTCTTGACTTCGGCTGCGATGTCCTGGTTCTTCTGAGCGGAGTAGTTCCGCTTCTTTTGCTTAATTGGCCGACATGTGGGGTCGACATTAAGCTTGTGCGAAATGAGGTTCGGGTCAATTTCCAGCATGTCGGCTGCTGAGAATGCGAACACATCTTTGTTGTCCCGAAGGAGCTGGACCAGTTCAACACGGAGGTTCGGATCCAACCCTCGTCCGATGTTGACATATTTTTCATTATCCCCCTCGGTCAATTGGATTAATTCAGTTTGTTCGTCTGACTCCATTGCCTTGGAGCCAGATTCTTCAGGGCAGGTCTGCTGTCAATCTCAGCAGACCTTCCTTCCTTCGGCTGGCTTTCGTCCGAATCTTTCGGTCCGTCCGAAGAGCTCGCCTTTTCGGCCCCTAAAGATGATTTCTTTTTTGGGGACCCCTGAGCTGAAGCACTTAGGCCCTTCGGCCTTTTGGTACCCCGCACTTTTTCTCTTTCTTTTTCTTCCTCGTCATCCTTGTCGCTTCGGCGACTCTTGGATGGCTTGAGGGAGTTGCATTCCCGGGCCTCTCTTTGGCTGCCCAGCATTTTCTCGGAGCGTCCTTCGTCTGAGACATAAATCATTGACTGATGATATGTCGAGACCACCCCTTGAACATCATGAATGAGAGGTCTCCCCATGATGACGTTGTAAACTGACGAGGCGTCGATGACCAAGAACTCGGCCATGATGCTTCGTCTTGCCTGGTCTTTGCCGTGGCTGACGGGAAGAAGAATTTTCCCATCCGGATATGAAGAAGAGTTGTTGAATCCAGTGACCGGATAAGGGACCGGAGTCAAATGCCTGCTCTCCAACTTCAGCTGGTCGAATGCCTTTCGGAAAAGTATATTCGCCCCGCTGCCACCGTCTACCAGTGTCCGATAGACGTTGTGGTTTGCAATGCTTGTCATGATAACCAGTGGATCATCATGGGGGTACACCACCCCCCTGCAGTCTTCGGATGTGAACGTCATGTTCGGCACCGGAGACTACGGCTTCTGGAACTCGGTATGATGGATCTGATGTGTGAGACCCCTCAGATGACGCTTAAGCGCGTTCCGAGATATGCCACCGGAAATGCTCAGGATGTCATTGTGTCCCCCTTCGGAGGCCTGTCCCTTTTTTCGGTGATAGTCCAGCTCTTGCCGAGAATCTTTCTCGGTCTTCTTATCTTCGCGGCGTTCCGCGACATATTTCTTGAGATATCCTTTTTGGACCAGCTCTTCAATCTGGTCCTTCAGCTGAAGGCAATCCTCGGTGCGATGTCCACGGGATTCATGGAACTCACACCAAAGGTCCTTCCCTTTCTTTTGATGCCAAGAAGGAGGTGGCTTCGGCTTTTTAAATCTTCCCTCCTCCCTCGTCGCACTGAAGATTTTAGTACGTGGCAAGGTGAGAGGGGTGTAAGATTCAAATTTCCCTAGGAAGGGAGCTTTATCCTTCTTCGGCTCCGCGGTTAAGGGAGGTTCTGAGGCTTTTGCCTTCCCTTTCCTTGACACTGGAACTTCAGCCTGCTGCCCTTTTGGCTTCACAAGCTCTGATTGGGATTGCAGCTTTGCCTTGTTCCATTCCTCGGCTCGGATAAATTTATCCGAGGCGTCGAGGGCTTCTTCCAGAGTCTGCGGGGGATGCATGACCATGAAGTCCAGAAATTTGCCAGCTTGCAAGCCATTCCGTAATGCAAATACGGCCAGACTTTGGTCCAGACTTGTTATTCTGGACGACTCGTTGCTGAAGCGAGTCAAATAGTCTCGGAGACTTTCATCCTCCGCTTGCTGCAGACCCATCAGCTCTGCAGTAGTTTTCTCTCGGCGATTAGCCGTAGAAAACTTGCTTTTGAATTTATTGGCTAGATCGCTCCAGCCAGTTATTGAGCCTTCCTTCAGCCCTTTGGTGATCCATGATTGGGCCACACCTTTAAGGGTTGTTGGGAAGTACTTGCACCAGGTAGCTTCGGACCTGGGGTTAAGGTACATATGCCCCTCATAGGAGGCGATGTGGTCCTTCGGATCCGAAGTACCGTCATATGTAATGTGTGCCGGAATTTTAACCGTCGGCACATGTTCTTCCAGTATCCACCTTTGGAATGGGGAACTGGTTGGAACCATTACGGCCTTTCCCTTCTGCTTCGCCGAAGGAACCCCGCTTCTCCCTCTCAGAGAGGTGGATGCGGGGGGTGTCCTCTCGCGCGACTGGGAAGGATGAGACCCTTCTGGGAAGGTGAGGCAACTATGCACCCCTCCTTTTCCACCTAGACGTTCAAGGACGCTTCGGCGGGAAACATTGTGGATGTCATGATGACCTTCGGAGGTTTGAGCTTTGGAACTTTTGGAGTGGCCGGAGCCTCTCCTCTGATCCTGCCCAGAACCACCTGGATGCCCAGCCTTTTGGCTACCTTCCCCTTTTGAGGATGGAGCACGCTTTTCCCCCTCGGTTATACTCTTCCTCTTTCGATCATTTGATCTAGGAGGGGGAGATGGTGGCTTTTTTATTGATGGGAAGCGTTCCCCTAAGGTATGCATGAATTCCATGCACACAGCCATGGCTTTCATGACCTCCTCGGTCGATGGTCCGGTAGGAGGAGTTGAGCGCATGCTTGGTGAGGGATCACGTTTATGAACCTCATTGTCCCTTGGCGAGTCCCCATTCAGGTGATCCCGCCGGGAAGGAGACCCTTCATGTGAATTTTCTCCCCTTGGGGAGCTGGAAGCAGTCGGTTCAGGCGACGGTAAAGGTGTCCTACCGGCCCTTACCGTTATAAAACCGGTCTTCCTAGCTTTCTTAGAGCTCTTTGCACTCTTAGTCATTTTGAGTATTGGCTAAGATTCAAATGAAATTTTTGGCTGACTTTTTGTAAGAATCCCCACAGACGGCGCCAAATTGTTTCAGTCAGAAAACAATGGGCCTTCAACTGGCCCTTCGGATGAGTGGGGACGAAGCCCAATTCGAGTGATAACCGAATTGGGGATTTCCTGCACAGCAATGCAAACGTAAACTAGCCTCGGGGGTGTGCCGAGGAAGGCCCCTCCGATGCCGAAGTCAGTACGGATGCACAAGTATTAGAGAAAAGTTATGCAAGAGTATTTGTTGCTTGAGACATTTAATGTGAATGAATGTAATTGTGTTAAAATGAAAGCTTTTATACCTTTGTTCCATAAGCTAAATTGGGCTTGATCAATCAAATGGGCTGCCACATGATTGGGCCTTGTTACTATTGACTTGGCAAATACATTGGAGGGTTGGACCTTATTGCTTGGGCTTTAACTATTTTCATTTGTGGACTGGGCCAGATTGTTAGCATTTTGGACCCCAAACACTTACCATTTCAAAGGACTGACAAACTTTTCTCAATACTTGGTTCTGATTATTACTGTCAGGTACACAGGCCCATGCAGTAAGATTAAAATGTTTCCGAACCCCCTGATCATTATAAAACCAGTTGAGCAAGAGTGGTTTTACCAAGACCCCCAAACCCCACAATTGGAGTCACAGTATTCCTTTTCCCGTCATCATTATTAGGATCAAAAAGCATCCCAATAATAAACGTCTTAATCAGTTTCCCTACCAATGACATCTTCTGTTTTCACAAAAGAGGCTGTTTCTCTATTTCTAATGAAGTGAGCCCCTAAGGATTGTGGTTCATCTCTATGGTCAGGATGTGTTTTTATGTTTAAAATAGCAATATCTGAATTGTTTTTATGTCTCTGTAAGATGTAATTCTTGTAAATGATGATGAATTCTGGACTGATTTATCTTCAAAGTATTAGAAGATGAGGAATATATGCTTACCTAGTTACCTTAGTAAAGGGATGTTTTGGATTCCTAAGTTGGCATTTCATCAAACAGCTTGCGTGCATTCCATAAATGAGGATTCTTTTGCTGCCCTTCAATTTTCCTTTTGCGCATCTTCAACACACTCTATCAAGGAGTATAATGTCCTTAAATAATGAAGCACAAAACATAATCTTCTGATTTCTGTAAAGGTGTTAACAAATCATAAAAAGTTATGGATGGCTTGCAGAATATAATTAGGGGAAACAAGTAACAATTCTAACTACCAACTGGCAAAATCTAACCTATAAACTATTATGTGATGAAATATAAAATTGATTATTGATTCCAAAAAGTGCTATTATTAAAATTAGTATATGCAGGCATGCAGCCTATGTACTATGTAGAGAGTATTCTTGTTACAATATACTAGTAGTCTAATAGGGGGGGTGATAATCGGTTGTTTGTAACAGTTTTGGATTCTATCGATTCAAATTGGGTCAGCCTAGGGATGCAAACAATCCCAGATCGATGAATCGAGTTTTAGTCTTTTCGACTAAGCTTGATATGGAATGTTAGGATTCAAGCTATCTCGAGCTTGAACGAGCTTTTAAAAATCTTATTCGAACTTGGCATGTTAAGGATCTGACTTGTACGAGCTTTCTTAATGAATTTACTTGTTTATATATTAAGTTTACGTTTGAGTTTAATCGAGCATAATAAACTAGCTCTAATTTATCATTAAAATGAATTCAATCAAGTTTTAAAGCATCCACTTATTTTATATAAGTGTTCATTCTTTTTATAGAAAAACAAAGTTTTCATGCCAATATAGGAAGAAATAATTTTTAAGTTTTGTTATACTATAATCAATAGAACAGAAATTACTTATCTCTTCATGCGTGAACCAAAATTGACAGTAGCCATGTCGTGGCAAATCATTGACCTAAAAGACGATTCCGCGCTACCTCACAGTGCAGTAGACAAGAAGCGGTCACCCTCTAGGATAAGCACGGCGTTGGAGTTTATGTGCACTCACAAACCCGACTGGAATTCAGAATACTTGCCCAGAAAAATAAAGAACCAGTGTTTAGTATTTTAAAGAAGAGAGAGAGCTACGAGTTGTTATGTATTTTGGCTGAAGAAGAACAGAGTATAAATAGGCAGCAAGGAGGAAACGGCTAGCAGAAAATAAGGGAAGGACTTAGCCAAAAAAATCGTCCAGATTAACTCGGCCAGTCAAGAGCAAAAATCAAGAGAGTGTAACAATCAGCTATAATCAAGGAATTAATAGCTGAATAAGTTCCTAACAATCAGAAAATCCCAACAGTCAAAAAACGGATTAAAAGCTTAGGAATATTCTGTCAACAAAGAAAGGAAATAAAATTTCTCAAAAAAAATAAGGACCTGTGCCCACTTATCGCATTCCTTTAGAACTTAGAGTCCAACCCAGCTCGGCTCGGCGCGCGTATGTGTGTGGTACAACACCCACTTCCAAGCCACTCAATTAGATAGTGCTAACGTACAACAATATATAAACAAGGCAAAAACTCTTCCCCCAACCAATGTAGGACTTTTTCCTTTTATTGTTTTTTCTCTCTCTTGTTCTTTCCTTCTAACACTTTTGTTTTATATCAAGAACTTCCAACAAGTTTTACTAATATGTATGAGTAAAAAATATCTAATAAAATGTATAAGTAAAAGATATATAAATATACATAAGTAATTTTAATATAGTGCGGAGTATAATAAATATTTTTCGACTTTGAGCGAGTTTTGACAAGCTACAATTTAGCATTAACAAAATTAAATGATTTGAACGAGTGGTTCATAAGCATTATCGAGAAAAACTTAATGTTGTTCACGATTTGATCTAATACCCACAAGATTACTCCGTATATTTTTTCTTATGTATAAATCACTAACATTAGTCAAATTAGATTAAGTGAATACAAATTGAGTATCTAAAAGGTGCTTTTTTTCAATAGTAATCACCTTCACATAATATTTCACAGTTTCACTTTCACACCTTTACTGCTGCCTGCAGGAAGGCTCGGATGCAAGATTTTGACAAAACAAAGGCAAGTCAAAATTAATTCTTACCCATTAAAAATAACTTATACAGAAGCACAGATGATACAGCAGTCAAAATAGTTTTACAATGTCAAGAAGGAACGCCATTAGAACTTTGGGAAAGTACAATGGCCCTCAGTTTATTATAAGCATCATAACAGGCGTGAGCATATTCTGACAAAGCTCTAAACAGCTCCGGCAACCGTGTTTTAAGGGTTCCAAGTGACTTCTCTCTAACTTGAACACAATGCCTCTGATGTTTTTCCTGCTCTTCCTCCAATCTCTTTCTTAAGGTCTCCACCAAAAACTGTCTCTCTGATACCGGATCTTTGCCAGGCCCATCTTCACCTCTCTCGGGGTCCATTGCTTCAGGACCCTTTCGCTGCATGTGTTTGTGATACCAATCCTCAAATGCCTGATTCTTTCTTAAGAATTCCTTCCTTGTCTCCTCACATTTTTCCTTCAACCTCATCTCCTCCTCTTGGTGCAATATGATGGTCTTGATCACAGCACTAAAGGATGAAATGGCGGTTCTGGTGACCTCATCAGGGAGCTTCTCTAGTGAATCGTGCCATGCATGGAGGAGGGTTTGAATTGGGGGGTGGTGGGCCCGGGGTGGGGAAGAAACCTTTTCCTTGAGGCTGCTTTCAATGGGGATGAGGTTTAGCTTCAACCAACTGTTGAGTGATCGAATATAGTGTTTCTGCTGTTCTACAAGAGTTTCAAATCGTTCTTGCCATTGTTGAATGACTTTGGAGAGTTGGATGGTGCACTGATAGTGGGGCTTGCTAGTTTCCCGGGGAGCAAGCAAGACATCAAGGGATTTGAGTTCTGTAGAAACCTGCAGCTGGCTATCATGGTGTACCGAGATATCCTCCCACATCTGAGCCATTCTGCATTGATCATCACCAGAAGTCAGGCAAATTAGCTAATGATGAGTAACACTGTCATTTGAAAAATATAGATTCCAGAAACTATATCTTAGGAATAAGGCTTTAATAGTTTGTTTGTTGATCTTGCCCACGTGTTAGAGAAAGATGACTTGAAACAATTACAAGATATAACATACTGGACTGGAGGTGAAGCACCAAACTCTTGTATATAGACATCTATGATCAACTTGAGGTGGACTCTTGAAATCATCAAAATTGACGAGGGTGAAAATACAGGATGGTTTCCACTTCTAATGACATAATCAACTATACCTCTAGAGGGTTACTAGGGTAGCAACACATCAAATGTTTAATAATTGGCATTTAGCAACCCAACATAATCCAGAAATTCAAGCACCACACGACAAATCTTGGCCATTCCAAACCTTACATGTACTGGCATTCTTCTTTTAATGTGCTCTCTCTTATACCCCATACGAATGAGTAAGGTTAATAGTGTTTTAAAGGAGTCCAAGGTTGATTGTTGTACTGAGAGATAGTCATTGTAAGATCTCTAAAGGCTAAAATCCAGCCAAATATCTCAATGTTGTCATTAATCTCAACAGGAAAGAAGCAAATTCATTGACCAAGCAACATAGGTAGCACCTCAGATATTGTAAGAAAGATGCATGGTAAAAAGATTGTCTAGTAGGAGAAAAAAGTATATACCTATCAACTAACTCAACAAGTTTTGGGTACAACTGCTGATCTCGCAAATCATTTACTTCTGATACAGTTGAGTCCATGGACTGCATGTCGACAATATATCGAGTGTGCAAATGACTAACAGCTGCTTTCGTTTTCTCTAATGAGTCTGCAGTAGCACCACGTTTTTTTTGTCTACTAAGAACTGAAACCTTTCTCTGATACTCCAGCTTCATCAGCTCACCAGCCTAACAGGCAAAAGCATGCAAAAATCATCATGATCTCAGAAGTATCACAAGATCATACAAATATACTTATCCTGTACTCTTGTGGCCTATAACCGAAACACAAAATTGTTACACTACACACAGGTGTGTCAGATTAAACCCTTGTTAACTTATGCTTTTATTAAATTATTATTAAACTTCAAAATAGCACATTTTTCTTCCACACAAGAAGGGAGCTCATAATTATAGTAGTTAATCCCACAGATTGTAATAAGTTTCAACTTCAAAGTTTCCAAAAGGTACAAGCAATAAGTTGCATCAGAGCCTTAACACCATAATTCTGTAACTAATTTATTTGAATTTTCCTTTATTTCTCACATTATACCAAATACAGCATGAGATTAAATCAGAGTTTTCACATGGATATTAGCAACTGGCTTTCATGCCAAGATTCCATGTGGACCCCACTTTGATTAGAATTGGTTGGGTTCACTTTTATGTAATATTCACCACCACACACGTAGATATGACTCATATGAGATATCAATTATCTTGACATTAGAAGTGTACCTTAACTTCTTCATATAGCTTTTTCTCCCATGCCAGCAGTTTATCCAAGACAGTGGCAAGTGACTCACTGTCATCAGGGTCAGTCTTTCCCCCATCAGGAACGCCCTTTGATGACCACGTAATGACACGCATAACTCTGGCGGCATGATCAACAGGCACTGGAAATAGATTTTTAAAGAAAAAAATAATTATTAGCTTATACATAGTACATTCATCCATAACAAAGAACTAGATCAGTTCAATATAGGTGACTACATACAACTACAATGCAAAACAGCTCAAAAAAAACACAGTTCATGTTGTTGGCTTTCAGCTTCCAGGGATAGTTGATCTGTTGATGTATATTTCCCATTAGTAGTAGCAACTAGATTTGAGCATAACTAATATATATTGACATGCAAGCAAACTCAAACATTATTAAATCTAGGGATTTAGCAGCGACTAAGTAATAAAGTTGGTCATTTTCCCAACTCCTATTAGCATTACCAATCACCACAGACAAACAGCAGAGAGAACTAAAAGGACCAATGATCAAAGCAATCGGTGTGGCACTGAAAAATGACCTAAACAAGGATTCTCCGAGGGTAAAACAATTTTCGGAAACAATGTAAAGGAAAGATTAGGAATTGATAATGATGTCAATCCTCGTGACCAGTACCAGATCCTCAATTACCACTTAAATGTAGCTCACATATACTAGCCGAGATACAAGAAATGCATTGAGAAATAGATGAGGTATCAGCAAGAATTTTCCGAATATCTATAGAAGGAAGATCTTGACTGACATGAATTCCATCATAACCTGGATATTTTCTACCTGAATAACAACACACCCTCACCACATGTACTCTCATCAACCTATTTTGTAGCCCAACTCACTAAAATCTCGAGTTCAGGCTTTCTGTTAAGATAAAGATATGTGAAGTTCACGAATTTATGATGCTCTTTCACACTGTGAAGGAGCATCATAGAGTTCACACAACTTCGATGGGAAACAAACACATTTAAGAAATACCTTCAACTTATAATAGAAGATGAACTTCTTTAATTAGAAATGAGCATTGTCTAATTATATCTGGAAGACTCGAAGCACAAGTATAATAACTCAAAAGAAGCAATCTCCAATGAAAATGCAGCAGGTTAGATTTAATTTATATCTTATTATAATTGCTAGAAACAAGTATACAAACAGATATAAACAAAGGGCATAACAAAAACAATCAAACGAAAGCGAAGACAAGAAGATAATTATATTGCCACTAGATACTATAATCTCCCACAGAAATATCAAACACTAATCACAAGAAGCCAACTTAATTGATCAAAAAAGAGCCGCAAAACATAATCAAACATCCAACATTATCAAGTATTATTGTTTGACCATGACATACAATATGCTAAACAACATAAACTAATTAATTAAAAGTCCATAAAATGGGACCACAGTCAAGCCACAATATATAATTCTCTCAACAAACCACAAGAACAAAAGGAACGAAACAAAATTAAAGACAAAGAACAAAGAATTAAACCTTTATTATCAGCAAAACTAGATTGATATTGAAACTTATGAGCTTCCAATAACTTAGTAACATTTTGTGCACACTCGGAAGCCTTAAGAAAATAATCATCAATCAATTCCAAAACCTTCATCAAATTAACCTTATTACCACTATTACCACTAGCATCAACACTCTCCACCTTACTACTCCCCATCAAAGCCTCCGACGGCGCAGAGTTAGAATGCATAAAATGCCTAACTCCGGCCTCGGAAGGCGGTGGGGGCGGCGTCTCCATCCCTAATTTAACCACCACCTCCGCATTCTCGGCGGGTTTAAACCGATTTCTCACATTCTCTTCCTCCTCCTCTTCTCCTTCCTCTTCATCTTCCTCACCTTCTTCATCAATCTCATCTAATCCAGCACCACCCATCATATTATTATCATCTGACATAAAGAAATAATCCCAAGCCATCCCTTTAATAGCACTCTCCTCCTCCCCCCTCCCAATCTTCTCATCCTCCCCACCACCGCCACCGCCACCACTACCTTCCACCTCCTCCAACGATCCCATACTCGAAACGCCGCGTTTCGAAGCCGAAAACTCCGGCATTGTAACGGACCGTTGGAGGGGGGAAGGGGTGAAGACGGGCAAGGGAGGGGGAGGAGGAGGGAGCGGCTCTTGCGGCGGTGGCGGTGGTGGTGGTGGGGGCTCGGAAGCTGACATGGAGGGTGGCGGGGGCTCTGTGTCAGCTGCCGTCTCGCCGTGCCCGTAATCGCTTAGCGCTGAGCCGGCGTTTCGAAGGGCGATTGCGTAAGCAGAGTGTCCTACAACAAAAGCGCTTCGAGCTAAAACGGCTTCCTTCATCAAGATTTTGCGGTCTTTGCAACGGGATACTGCTTCTTCATTGTCTATTCTTGATTGAGCACACCCCATTATTTGGTTTGGTTAAAAATCTGAGCTTTACTGTAAAAATGTGAGTTTTTGTGTATACCCAGATGAAAAAATTGACGATTTGAGCAAAAACAAGTTGAGAAATTTAAGTGAAAATGGGTATTTTTTGGTTAAAATCTGAGCTTTTGAGTAGACATGTGAGTTTTTGAGTATACCCAGATGAAGAAATTGACGATTTAAGTAAAAAAAAAAAAGAGATATTTAAGAGAAAACCCAAGTGGGAAAACTGAAATTGAAGGTATTTTGGGTACAAAAGAGAGTAACTTTAACAAGTAGAGCTTAAAATTACAGTTTTAATGGAGGTGTCTGGTTTAGAGGAGAGAGAAAGAAACTGACTTTAACAGTGAAAAAATGGTGGTGATGGGGAAGGAGAAAGCGGTGCAGAAGGTTATGGAAAAGCAAATCTTAATTCTTGTGTACTTGAGTTTTAAAATTAGTAACGTACACATTTTTTGAGGCAAGAAACGGCGTCGTATTGAGGGGTTGAATAGAAGTTTTTGTTGTTCTAGGAAGTTATGTCATAAAAATGGTGTGTTAATTGCTCAAATTAGGCAAATAAATATGGTGAATAGTGAAATCTGTTGTTTTACCAAATAAAAATGTAACTTTTTCTTTTGACTAAAAACAAAATGGTACTAGGGGATATAAAGGAAGTGGGGTGCTTATTTTCAACCAAATGGGGTGTGTAATGAATGGTGTGGTAAACACCCCCACACCATTGTCACTATGTTGAAGTATAACATAGATATATTTGGTACTTATGAATTATGATTATTGACCCCAGAAAAAAAAAAAAAAAAGTGAAAAAGGAAAATTTTAGGAGCTCATAATTCTAAACTGTATTATTAGGAAGTATGAATTATAAATTGAAATTGATATGTGATATGATAGAATACTATCTTTATAAAAAAGAATAAGAGAGAGTCCACGATACTCAATTTGTTACTTGTGTTATTCAAATGGCAATTCTGTAAATATTGCTTCTTATTTCCCTTCTTCTTCCTCCATCCTTTCTCAATTACAATGGCAGATTTTTCAAGATATCATACCACAAGCGAACATCACAACAAACACAAGCCCCAACCCCACCATTTTTGGTGTCCATTTCTTACGGTTTTGCCGCCGAATTCAAGAAAACTCTAGGTAAAAATGGTGAAACAAAGGGCACGCATGGTTAACCCAAAAGGGTATGTGTTGAAAGTCTTCCTACCGATCTAACCACGAAATCCTCGCCGCCACCACCATCATCACAATCTTCTTCTTCCCGTTTTCCTTCCTCGACAATGACCCCAACGCCATCACCTAATTGTAAAGAGTGTAAATTTGGGCCATATCAACCCTTGAGAATGCTTATACTTCGCAGCAGCAATTTTAACCACAATAGGTGGTGGTGGGCCTAGTAGCAGTGGTGTATAGTTATGGTGTCGTGGAGGAAGAAAGGTGCAGTTGGCTACTTGGTTATGATGGAGGATTGCAGAAGAGTGGAAGAAAGACATTTTTATCCCAAACTTTATTGAGAGAAAAGACAATTTTAACCCTTGAGTAGCACAATTTGTTACTCATATTGAGTAATTTGGATTTTCCCTAAAAATAATGAAGCTATTTTTTAAAAAAATAAAAATAAATGAATGCATAAAAGTAATAAGGTGAAAAAATGTGTGATAACTTTTTAACCATTTTACTCCACACATTTTTACTTTTATGGAGAATAATTACAATAATTAAACTCCTACCATTGAAGAAGTTTTTTTTAGAAATAACACACCTAAAACAAAAATATATATATATATATATATGTTTAGAAATTATTGTTTTGTTACTTGTTAGGCTTTTTATGTATGAAATCTCGTACAAAAGAGTCTCTAACTCTACCCCATCCCTCTAACATCTCATATCTATCTCATCCTTAAGATTCACGTTCCATTCCATTATTGAAAATATATAAACAATTCCATGATGTAAACCAAATAATTTCAAACTAGATTAGTCCATACCCCGTAGTATGAGATGTCATACCATTTCATTCAAGTTTAAAAAACCAGACAACCCCAAAGAGAATTAGAGGTTAAGCAGAAGTTGTATAGGAGATGCTACTAGTGAATGCTTATAAAAGATAGTATAGAATATTTTAATTGGAGTTAAGGAATGGATTTTACTAATATTACTGTAAAATGAAAGTAGGTTCTACGTAGTGACCCTCTAATATTGCATTTTTCAAGTTGTACTTCCTCTTTTTGGAAGTTACACATTGTATATCTATGGTACAATTATTAACTATACAGTGACCTTATTGTTATGTACGAAGTAGCCGATAATGAGGTTATGCTGTTTTTTTAATGACCGTTAGTGGGGCCCACTCTCCACCTACTAATATTTTTTCAATTTACGTGATGAAATATGTTGTGTTAAACGTTTTGGGGGCCGTGTTAGTCATTATGGTCTATATTGAACTCGAATTTGGCAAAAAAAGGAGTACAATAATTCTTGTTCATTACATGACATTATAGATTTCACATAGATTCCTTACATCCCATTGCGTCTCGAGGTCTATGTGTCCAACCACTTATCCACTCCCATCAAATTCCACGGTGGTCATAGAAGACCTTTTCTTTTACTATTTTCAAAATGAACTTCGACATTTTGATTCATGGCAACTTATAGCAACCCGTATCATCCTTCATGAACATTGATAACATCATCTTCGTCCCACACACCTTTACTCGAACCAACATAAACTTCAATATATTTGAACTAACAACGGTTAACACCCAACTAGTAAGTTGACAACAATATTCAAAGCTAACAATGTGTTATAAAGAAAGGGGAAAACCGAAGGGGAAGTGGTAGGATGGGAAGAATGTCGAGATTAATTTCTTATAATTTAATCCCTTTACTTAATTTTTCTCCTTCCCAAATCACTTTTCTTTCTCATTTGTTATCCAATGAAATTTAACCAATTCCTCTATTTTTCTTTTTTTTCACTAATTCCAAAATATAATTTTATAACAACTCTAGATCGGCATCTAATCCCACTATTCAATCATTTATTTTACGGCTATTTCACCAAATGCCACTGACAAATTACGAAATTCACCAAATGCCATCCAACTTTTCAAAATTCACCAAATGTCATTGACAAACAGTATATTAACACCGCGTGCCATTAATGATGTCTGGACGTCAGTTGGCCGTTAAAGCAATTCTTATTTCATGAAATGCCATTGAGAAGTTTATATATTTCACCAAATGCCATTACTTTTAAGTTTTTTTTCACAAAAGACCTGTGTTCATATAAAGTGTAACGGCTAGTTTGGTTGACCTTTTTTGAATTTTTTTTTTGGGCAAATATAGCCGTTGCACCCCATTTGCTATATATACAGTACACTAAAACTCTCATAGCAGATGTTTTTTGCAAAATCATGAGCTTCATGTCAAACACATCCTCTTCAAAACATGAGTATGCGTATGTGAAGGTTCCAAATAAATTTTGCAATTGTGGTAGAAAATATGCAATTAGAAGCTCAGAGTCAACATCAAATCCACAAAGGCTGTATTATAAATGTGATGCATGTGATAGCTTCAAATGGTGCAAGGTTCTGATACATGAAGAAGGTCAAAGCATGGGAAGTCAGAGCAGGGGAAGCTGTTATGCAAGGGATGGGTCAGGGCAAAGCAATGTACATGAACAATTGAAACAGCTGAAGAAGAAAATCAAGCAACAGCAGAAAGTCCTCGATTGTATAATGAAATTAGGGGTACTAATGTGTGTAGTAGTGATGATTGTAATGTTGAAGTAAACTATTGTGTAATTGCAATGAAATTTAATAAAGAGTGAAGTTATATTATGTGTCCAAAATATTGCTTCCTGTCGAAATCATGTGCCCAAAAGATTGCTTCCTGTTTAATTACAATATTATAGTCAAAAGAAACTAGACAAAACAGCACACACAACACTATCAATGTTCAAAAATTACATGGAGAATCTAGGTGTGCATTAAAAACAGGAGGAACTGTGCATTCAAGCTGCTCTCTTTGTTCTCTTCTTGGCTTGAGAGGAGGTGGCTGATGTGCTTGCTTCAGTTGCAGCTCTTTTTTTCCTTGATGCACAAGTCACCTTGTTGTGCCCCAACTCACTGCATAAGCTGCACTTCACTGTTGCATGCCTCTTCCCTTTCCTTGCTTCATTTGGCCCTCTTTTTCTTTGCTTCTTTGGTCTCCCTGCACCTCTTTTCACCAATGGTGGCAGTATGTCAGGCAGGTTCCTTGATGGCCATTGTGATGGGTCAGGCATAGGGTGCATATGCCCTACATAAGTCAACTTGTATGCCTTTCCTTTGAAATAGGGGGCTACAAAGTCTGCTGGTTGTAGCCTCTGGTGATAAATGACCCTTAGTACATGTTTGCATGGCAATCCAGAATGTTGCCACTTCCCACAACCACATGTTCTAGTGCTCAGCTTGATGGGAAAATGCACATGTTGGTCTCTCACCTCAAATTCATCCTCACCACAGGGAATAGCATAACAAAACATAGACTCATCTGATCTTGTTTGCAGAATCTTGTCTGCATACTCAGTCAGCTCCATATCCCCCATGCTTAGTGCTTTGTCAAACCCTAACCCAATCCTCTTCATGCACCATTGTCTTATAGCTTCAAAACAGTATGCAATAAAAATAGTGTAAACAACATGGATGCAAGTTATCATTGTGTGTATAGCTTCAAAATAGTGTGCAAACAAAATAGTGTAAGTGAATACCTTCAAGTATTTTCAGAACAGGTAAATCTCTGTATGGCTTGGTGCATGAGTTGAAAGACTCAACAAAATTTGTTGTGTTATGGTCACAACAGAGTGTAGGATCAAACTTATGCCTTGACCAGACCTCAGTGCAGCTCTCTAGGTACTCAATAGCCTTAGGATTGTACTCTTCAATCTTTTGCATTGCTTTGTTGAATACATACTCATTGTATGCATCAGTTGCTATCCAGAAAAGCTTATGAAAGGCTGAACCACTGAATCCATTAGCCTTGCAGTTCATGTATAGGTGCTGGCAACACACTCTTCTTGTTGCTCTAGGGAATGTTTCATAAATTGTTGTGTCAACCCCTGCAAACAAACAGTTTCATGACTGAGATTTCAACATAAGAAACTAAACAGTGAGTGACATGTAATACAACAATATCAAGGTGGATTACCTTCATTCTGTCAGAGATGAAGGTCCAATCATCTCTCCTACAACCTTCTTTCTCAAATAGGCACCTCAAATTCCTGAGAAAATAGCCCCAACTGTCAATACTCTCATAACCCACCACTCCATATGCAATGAGAAAAATCTCATTGTTCCCATCAATCCTAACAACAGTTAACAAAATGCCCTTGAAATGTCCACTCAGGTGGGCTCCATCAATGCTAATGAATGGCCTGCAGCCTCTCAAGAATCCCCTTACTTGGGAAGCAAAAGAAAAGAAACAACCTTGAACCTTGAGGGCTCAGTTGCAGTAGCCTCACCCCATGTCACCAGGGCATAACTACCTCGGTTGGTCTGCTTCACCATTTCAGCATACCTAGGCAACACTGAGTAGGCCTTCCCATAACCACCATGGATAATCTCCTTAGGCATTGCCCTCACCTTGTACAAGAGTCTTTTCTTCACTTGTAGCCTAAACCTTTCCATACAAAGTCTCTGCAAAGACTTAACTGGTATGTCAGGATTGGCTTGAATGTCTGAGTGAAGATGCCTACACAGCCACTGAGAACTCACAATTGGGTTTATTTCCAACCTCCCACAGCTTTTATGCTCCCCTGTCAGAGACTTGATTGCCCAGCTGACCTTGTCTTTCATAGTGGAGGCATGAATCCTCCAGTTGCATGTGTCTATAGCACACCTTGCTATCAATCTTGTTGGGTCACTCTTTGCTACATAAATCCCAAACCCTTCTTGTACACAGAAGTCCTTAAACACATCAAGAAATGACTGCCTGTCTCCAAATATCAACCATGGCTCTAATGTAATGGATCCAAACTCCTGATTGGTCCAAATTTTACCATTTTTATATGTTTTGTCCATTGTTGAACTGCCATCTCGGTTATCCTGAAACTGCTTATCTGGAATATCATCATGAAGGCCATATGTTTCTGTTTCATCCTCTAAGAAATCACAGATATCTGCCTCATCATCATCATCTCACTACTAGATAGTATGTAGTCATCATCATCACTGTCACTACCAAACTCATCACTGTTATCTTCACTGACAGGAACATTTGCAGCACTGTTCCTTGTTGATCTCCTGAAACTAACACCAACCCCCTTACCTTTGCTGGAAGCAGTCTGTTTTGACCTAAATCCCTCAGGTCTTGATCTTCCCTTTTTTGCTAGTGCAGATGGTGGAGGTGGGGGTTGATTTTGTACTGGTGTAGCCTGTGGTGGTGGGACTGTTTTTGTTTCAGGGGAAGGTTCAGGGGAAGGTGGGGATGTATGTGGTTCATGGGATGGAGGGGAAGGTTGTGGTTCAGGAATTGGTGGGGAGGGTTGTGGTTGAGGAGGGGGTTGGGATCTTCTTTTTTTGGATGTGGTTTTCTTTTTCCCAGGAGTGATTTTTTTCCTAGTAGATGTCTTCTTGGGCTGGTTCAAAGGAGAGGCTGGTTGAGAGTGTTTTGGTGGAGTTGAGGGTTGTGTACTTTGTTCTGGCCGAGGCTGTGATGCCCCAGGAAATACCTCATCAGCTACTGGGGTTGCAAAAACTCTAACATACTCAACAACATTTGACTCCTCTGCATTAACAACAGGAACCTCAACTGCAACTTGATACTGTTGCTGCTCCATAAGCTCCCTCTCAGCTTCCTGTTCTTCAGCCACCCTCTTGGCCTTTTCCTGTTCTATTATCTCCTTCTCAGCCTTTGCCTTAAGCCTTTTTTCCCAACTTGTTGCAGCATTCCTAAACACCAAACTAGGTCTACCATTCTCCTCTAAGAACACTTGTATTGTCTCCCTACCTTCATACCACTCCCACATTTTCAACATTTGAGCATCCCCAGTTAACTCAAACTTCCTATTAGTTCTAGGTGGCATTACATACAAACTAAAGTATTTAGGGAGGATCACATTTTGCCTTTCAGAGTCCTCAAACATGTACTCATACAAGTCTATTAGACTTGTTCTGTTAGTATCCTCAATCATCACATCAAACCCCTGATCTTTGTACTGAACATTAAGCCACACTGAACTCATCATATGAACAACAAATTACTTATTACTACAATGCACATCAACACACATCATTCATATCAACAAACACATATCAACACAAATATCTTGATCAACTCGCAAATTTAAATTTCAACCACCCACATACTATGATAAACACAAACCCTAACAGACCAAAACACACATTGACATATTCATACCCACAATTGCAGTTTTGAACATGATTTTTATCATTATTTCACAAAGGTCAATTCAAATACACACATTGCACTGATCATATCAGAAAACCCTAACCCTAACACAATTTTCGCAAAAATTAACAGAATCGAAAAGCGAAATGAAGATCGACGGATAGATTATTACCTTGCGTGCTATCTCCAAGCCCTAAAAAAAAATTCTGCACTCCCAACTATCTTCAAGTTCTTCAACTACTTGTGCGCGCTTTTGGGTTCGCCCAGAATCAAGAACACTAAAAGCTTCAAACTTGTTGCGAGGATTGTTGTGCAATGGTCCCAGTTTGCTTCTTCGTTGCCCAGAGATTTTAAAGTTTCAATTATGGTGAAATTTCGAAGAAAAGGGGAGAAGTTATGAAGAAGAAGGTCCAACCACAATTGAATAATTGAAAAAAAGAAGTCAGAGAGAGTCAACGTGCTAATGGCGCCATTAAACACTAAAAAGGGTAAAATGGTCTTTTCGCTTTGACGGCCAACTAACGTCCAGACATCATTAATGGCACACCGTGTTAATATACTCTTTGTCAGTGACATTTGGTGAATTTTGAAAAGTTGGTGACATTTAATAAATTTTGTAATTTGTCAGTGACATTTGGTGAAATAGCCGTTTATTTTAAAAATATTTCGACAATTGAAAAATTCGAACATCTATCGAGAAGCAAACCAAGTATTCCGCCCCTCAAGGCCTCAACGAAAAAAAGTTTCAATTGTTGAATGGCAGAACACCAAGAAATAAGCACGAAAAGGCTGAAATTGAGCTCCATTAAAGACAACAATGGCGGAGACTCAGAAAATGAAGACCGATTAAGTTCTCTCCCAGACTCCATTCTCACCGACATTCTCTCACTTCTCGACATCCAAGGATGCATATTCAGAACTTTAATTGAATTTAAAAAAAAAAGTAGAGAAGAACCATACCTGGTGGCTGACACAGACGACGGGCGACAAGGTGGGCGGTGGAGTGATAGGTGGTGGCTGAGGACGAGCAGGCGAACAGCAAGGGCCAGGCCAGCAACTCCAGCAACCCCCGCAACAATGAGAGATGAAGGCCACGAGCAGCAAGGGCCAGGCCAGCAACCCTGACAACCGGCAAGGAGGCGAGTGGCGGTGACGGAGACAGCAAGCCGGCGGTACGGTGAGACCTACAAGTCGGCGACTGAGCAAGTGAGCAGCAAGGGGTTCAGTTGAGACTTGAGAGGATGAGAGGATTGAGAGTTTGAGAACTGGAAACTTGGAAAGAGGTAGAGAGGCAAAGCATAGGAATTTAGGTATTTCGCGTGTCCATACCAAAACGGCCCGTGTCAGCCAAGACACGGCCCGTGTCCAAAAATCAAAAACGGTTAAAAAAAATCGGACACGGTTTTCTGCGTGTCGGACACGTGTCGCCCCGTGTCTCATCCGTGTCCGTGTCCGACACGCGTGTCGACTCGGACTCTTGGCGTGTCCGTGCATCCTTGGTAGGGACACTACAAACTAGTTTTGTAGAAGATGGCGGTCTTTTAAGCATTTGAAGTTTAAATGTCATCTCTCCACACTCACTCTCAAGGTTAACACATTCTCCTCTCTTCCCAACAATCTCCGATTTAGGGTTCCGGCGAACCCCAAAATTCAATTTGTTATGGATTCCGACGCACCCCGAACCCGTATTGATCAGGTTTTTCTCTCTCCTCTTGTCAATTTCAATTGTTATGCAATTCTTCGTTTATATGCTGTCAATCAGTCGAATAATTGAAGTATAAATGCTGGGAAATTGAGCAAAGTGCATTTATTTTTAGTGCTATTATGAATCAGGATTGGAGGGTTTGGAATTATTTCCCTAATAAATTGAATTTGTAGAAGATTGGAATTGTTTGACTTGGATAATTTCTCTAATATGTGTTATTGTTGTCGTCAACGAATGCCTAGTTTATGGAATTTGGGGTTTGAATTTACAGTTTTTCGCATCGAAGAAAAAGAAAACCTTCTCACCAAAGACTGCTAAAGATTCATCTCCTAGTGCAAAAGGGACATTGGAAAATTATTTGGTGACTTCACAGAATGATTTTGTGAAAAGGAGTTTGGCATCGGAGATTGATTTATCTGCCAAAAATGAAAGTAAAGAGACCCTTTTGTCCAGTGATGGTAAATTTAGGGGCTCAATTTCATCTGGCGCGGTGCCTGGATACGAGTCCGGGGCTGGAAATGCCAGTGGTGAAGCTGGTGGACGGGATAAGTCAGACCAAGTTCAAGCTACTGAGAATCCGGAGCTTAAGCAGTTTCCTATGGACGTTTTGTCGTTGTATTGCAGGTAATAATTTCAATTGGGTGTAGTCATGTTTTTCATTTTTTGATTTAAAAGGTTAATTAAATTATGATGTTTGCAGTGTTTTTGCATGTCTGATTGTTTGTTTTGAGTTTTAATGGTTTTTCGGTTGTAGAAAGATAAGCTCTTTGATTTTTGAAAGTTTGCTTGTTTCGAGGTCTTTCGTTCAAAGCTGTGTTCACTCCAGAAATGAGATAATCATGTATGGGATGGAGGGGTTGATTCTAAGTAAAACTGCACAGTTTGTTGATATTTTATCATGTTGTATCATATGTAGCGGAATTCAAGCAAGCTCATTATATGAGAAAAATATAAATGAGCATAAAAGATGTGGGAGTCCATCAGTTCTTGTTGGGGAAGGTGCAGCATCCAAGAAAAGGAATTATGCTGCTGAAAAAGAAATCTCATCGCCGGATCATCAGACTCCAAGTTCTGATAAAAGGGCTCCTGTTCTTGTGTCATGCAGTAATTTTTCTGAAAAGGTGGAAGGAGTTGCCAACTTTGTAACAAGGGTGAGATTCATCTGGTTGTAACTATTGCATTTTTTTTGGTTGGTGCAATTGTTACCTGACATGCTTAGTTTTGATGTCACACTATCTAATGTCCTTATTTTCACAATAGGTTGACTGTGATGAAGATTCCTTTAAGCAGCAATCCGGCTTAAGAAAATGCAATAAAACTACAAACTCCACATCATTAGTGAATGAGTGTTCCACGCCTGCTGCATTTTGTAAGAGTTTGAGTGCACGTGAAACTCCCGTATCAAGTCGTGGAAGCTCAATATTTTCACCAGGAGAAGCATTCTGGAATGAGGCTATTCAAGTTGTTGATGGTTTGTGTGCCCAAACTGCTAAAGGTTTTTCCCAAGTTGCAGAAGATACAGGTATCACTATCAGCAAAACACAAGATGAAGGGGCCTCCCGTCATTGTGTTGAAGGGAGTTCGAATAATAAATTTGATGTACCAGTTGGTACTGATGCTAGCAGTTCTAAGATGACTGAATCAACCACTATATTGCCGGAGAATTATGGGGAACCTTTGGAAATAGAAGCATCCCCATTGCCTGTTAAGCATTTTGATTTCTCGTGTGATGACAAAAATGGGGACAGAATTATGCCAAGTCATTTATCTTCAGTAAAGAAAGAAGATTATAGTGATGAACGTGCTGTATGCAAATTTGCAGATCTTGAGAGGCCACTAGATAAGAATGCTGTAATAGGCAGCAAAGTTCAGTTACATGAATTTAAGCATAAAGTATTGGAGGACGCAGCTCCTGTACATGGAGCTGAAAAGAGGAGGCATAGTTTATTTAGTCCTGATAGTGACAAAAACAATTCCGATCCACAAAATAGGGAAAACGCGAAATTTGTGGCTCCCGGTGTCTCTGATGGATCTAGTACTCCTTCAAGTTCCATGCCATTGGAAGATCGTTTAGACCTCAGCCACTGGCTACCTCCTGCAGTATGTAGCATCTATAGACAACGAGGAATAGCTAAACTCTATCCTTGGCAGGTAAGGCTTGTTACATTGTTCATTGTATCCAGCTCTATGTTTAATAGCCTGAAGGAAGACTGGAAAAAAAAAAAAAACTTATTTTGATATCCTGTACAATGAAGATTATTTTCTAGGTAAACCAGTCATGTAATTGCCTGGTGCTTTTTTTTTAAAGCTCTGATATAGTGATCACATATGCAGTAAGATAAATAAGGTCTTTCTGCATTTTAAATTTTTATAGTGAATTTGTGATCATTAACTTGATCTATACGTTCCTAGAACTGTTTCGCCATGTATGTACTAACTTGTGCTGTACTTTTTAGGTTGATTGTCTTCAAATGGATGGTGTTTTGCAGAAGAGAAATCTTGTTTATTGTGCATCTACGAGGTAAGTAATCATTATTATGAAAAATTTATCTTGGTGAAAGGGAGTGTAGCTGTTTGTTAGATTAGATGTCATTACAGGGATATAGATGATATCTGCATGCCAATTACCAATCATGCTGTTCTCTGTTTTAAACAGACCTAAAAGATCCCACTGGCATGAAAAAAGAAGCTAGAAAACCACCTGCTATATCATATAACAGTTGTATTAACTGTATTGATTCCAATGAACAGTAGATGATGATTTTGTTGTTCGTTATTAGCTCTAAATGTAGTACATGTGTTATTGGGACTTTATAATTTTCCTTCTCCTCCTGCAACAGTGCAGGCAAAAGTTTTGTTGCTGAGATCTTGATGTTGCGACGTGTCATTGACTCTGGCGAAATTGCCTTGCTAGTGCTGCCTTATGTTTCTATCTGTGTTGAAAAGGTTATCTTTGAACTCTTTTTGTTTTATTATTTTGTACTTTCTTTTAAAGGCATCATCATATGAATTGGCCATGACTTTTCTTGAAGCATGAATGGTTATCTTTTGCAGGCAGAACATCTTGAGGTCTTACTGGAGCCCCTTGGCAAGCATGTTCGCAGCTATTATGGGAATCAAGGTGGCGGGACACTTCCTAAGGATATATCAGTAGCTGTCTGTACTATAGAAAAGGCCAACTCTTTAGTTAACAGATTGCTGGAAGAAGACAGATTGTCAGAAGTGGGAATTATTGTGATTGATGAATTGCACATGGTTAGTGTACTACTCTTTAGTGTACTACTGCACATCTGCACTTTATGTTATTTTTATGCCTCCTTTTTGTAAACCTAGTCTAAAGTTAATTTATGTAGAATTTGTTTTGCACTAGGTTGCTGATCCCAGTAGGGGATATCTGTTGGAGCTTCTATTGACAAAGCTTCGTTACGCAGCTGGTGAAGGTAATGGTGAATCATGCAGTGGAGATAGTTCTGCCACAAGTAGTGGTAAGGGTGATATAACTCATGGTCTTCAAATTGTTGGGATGAGTGCTACAATGCCAAATGTGGCAGCTGTTGCTGAATGGCTTCATGTAAGTATCACTCATCACTGTGTGTTTCCAATTGGAGTCAACTCTAGTCATGTGCATTAATCTTAATCATACAGCATGTATCATTACAAAAAAGTTGACCTCCTAGCTTTTCTTTAGTCTCTTAAGTGAAACATCATTTTATTTGTTTTTGCTCGTGTACCCTCTATGTGTGTATGATGTTGTACAATCGAGGGAGACAACAAATTTAAAAGTCGTAGAAAATTTGGACCTTGATTCAGCTATCCTACTAGCCTTCAGATTAGTTACGCCTCGTTTGGTAACCGGTTTTAAACAATGGTAATAAGAATAAATTTATATGTAAATTTGGATGAAAATCCAAGTTTATTCCCATGAACACATAAGATGACCCCCAAATTGTCTATTTTTCTTCATAAATTTCCATTCCCACCTAGTACCACCTCTCAAGTCTCAAGTGGTAATGGATGGTAATGGAAAAACATGAAGAAACACATGTTTGGGGGATGAGATTGTGCTCCCATGAAGATTATAGGTTGTTATCCATACTAAATTACACTTAAATTCATTCCCATTACCAGCTACCAAACAAGCTGTAAGGGTTTGAGGCTGAACATGCTTGATTCATGGTCTCAGACCCTAATTATGGTGGGAAATGTATTGGGTTGCACTAGTGATAGTAATTGTAGTAGTGGGGTTGTACTAATGGCCATGTCGTCTGGTTTCTGTCTTTCTGATGCAGTAATGCTTTAGCAAGTAGCATTACTTGTATGATTGAATCACTTGTCTCACTAAGTTTCTGGGCAAGTTTTCTTGTATTGGATTCCTCTTATATTTTGCTCCTCCCATTCCGATGAATAGGAGAACAATATGATAAAAGTTCAATTATTCCTATTAGCCTTGTTGTGGCAGTGTATAAAAAGGGTGCGCCCGAGACACGTGGTGATTTCAATGAGGTGTAAGGACCACCTTTATCTATTTATATTAAGTGAGCCTCACTTCAATAAGGCGCTGAGGGATTCCGCCTTATTAAGTGAGGCTCACTTTGTTGATCTATTGACTGGATGATATGGTACAGGGATTGAAGTCTAAACCCCTGGTCTGAACTAAAAAAAATAGCTATTTGACTAGTTCACACTAGAAAGATGTATTGTTTTACTTTGTCACTCTCCACTCTCTGGATTTTGGATTCTGAGACCTGTATCAGTGTATTCTTATCAAAGAAACAATAACTTAATAATTGTTCATACCTTATTTCTGCTTTCCTGTCCCTTTTAGGCGGCATTATTCCAGACTGAATTTCGTCCAGTCCCTTTGGAGGAATTTATTAAAGTGGGTAATAATATCTATGACAAAAAGATGGAAGTTGTTAGGACTATACCTAAGTCAGCGGATCTCAGAGGCAAAGATCCAGATCATGTTGTGGAATTATGTAATGAGGTATCTAATTATATTCATAGTTGAGGTTTCCATGTGTTACATACTTTGTTAAATGGACTTAAATGTTCTTAGGTTGTTCAAGATGGTCATTCTGTGCTCATTTTTTGTTCAAGTCGGAAAGGATGCGAGTCTACAGCGAAGCATATCTCATTGTATCTCAAAAAGTTTTCTGCCAAAATCCAAGAAGAGTCGAGTGAATTTAATGATCTATTCTCAGCCATTGATTCTTTGAGAAGGTGTCCTGTGGGTTTAGATCCTGTGCTGGAGGAAACTCTACCTTCTGGTGTCGCTTATCATCATGCTGGCCTCACGGTAAGTACTGCAGTACACTGTACATGTGCATATAAATGAGTGGAAATTGTTGTCTAAAGCTTATATATGGGTATGTTAACTCCTGTTTGTTTGGTACAACAGTTACAACTTTACAGGTTTTTTTACTGATATATAGTCTGAGTTATTGACCAATTTTAGCAGTTGGCTTTCTGAAGAGTTGCATTTTATACTTTGTACAGGTTGAGGAAAGAGACATTGTTGAAACCTGTTATCGTAAAGGCTTAGTACGTGTCCTAACTGCCACATCTACTTTAGCTGCTGGTGTTAATTTACCTGCTAGGAGAGTCATATTTCGGCAACCCAAGATTGGCCGTGATTTCATTGATGGGACACGATACAGACAAATGGCTGGTAGGGCTGGTCGAACTGGTATAGATGCGAAAGGAGAAAGTGTATGTTTTTACTTCTTTTTGCTTGATCAATATTCCAATACGTTTGAGTCCTAGTTATTTAATTTGCTCATGAATATTCTTGTTTTTCAGGAGTTGTGTAGTTTTACTTTGGGGGAGAGAGGGAGGGGAAGAGGGGCCTCTAATGTTTGCTAATTCGATTTTATGTGTGACGACCTCAGTTAATGTTCCATTTGAAGTGTCCAACGTTTGCTTAGCTTTGCTTTCAGACCCTAGTAAAATTGTACTTGCATCTTTTATAAATTGAATGTGCCTGTTGGACTGTTGCAAATGATGTGCCATTTTTTGGCTGAGGCAGGTTCTTATGTGCAGACCTGAAGAAGTTAAGAGAATAAAGGCCCTTTTGAATGACAGTTGTCCACCACTGCAATCTTGTCTTTCAGAAGATAAAAATGGAATGACTCATGCTATCTTGGAAGTTGTGGCTAGTGGAATTGTACAAACAGCTAATGATATTCACCGATATGTGAGGTGTACTCTCCTTAATTCTACAAAGCCATTTGAAGATGTTATCAAATCAGCACAAGATTCTCTTAGGTGGCTCTGTCAGAAAAAATTCCTTGAGTGGAATGATGATACTGAACTATACAGTACCACTCCTTTGGGACGAGCAGCTTTTGGCAGTTCTCTGTCTCCAGAAGAATCTCTTGTAAGTACTGTCAATTACCTGAACATCTAGCCATGCTCTCTTCCTGTTAGATTTGCAAACCTTACCAGGAGTTGGCTTCTCCTACTGAATAATTCAAAATTGATTTTTTTTTTAATTTATTGGAGTTAAATTATCTGGTCTTGACCCTGAAACCTGAAATGAACTGATTGAACCAAAACTGATTGAAAGGTATCTAGAGTTAATTCTGACCTTTGCCTGTGCCTCCTCCAACAATGACTCAAAAAAATTCATATGTTAAAGTGTGCTCATGTTTTTGCATGTATACAAATTTGAAATGGTTCATTACATTTCTTTGTAAAGGGAACTTTTTATGTTTACATATTAATTGTATCAATACATTTAAGCTTTGGATGTTCATCAAAAGAATATTGATCTGAGCTGAAATAATGGAAAACTATTTATATCAAACTTGAAGAGTTGAATACCTGACAACATAGAATCTGACCTGATGCAGTAAAATTGTCCAATATTGACTGGATTATACCCATTCAATAGTGATCCACCCTGAAATTAACTGATCCGCAACATCACACTTAATTTACGTCTGAACTGAAATAGAGTTGAACTGAACAGCATACAAAGTAGGCGAAATTGATCATATCTAGAAGGCCTGGGAACAGATCATTTTGACTAGGTTTCTCGGAAATTGGACAATTCAAGGTAATGATTTTGTTAGTGAAAACTAAGAGCTGCTGTTGAGGTTTTGTATATATAAATTCAAATATCAAGATAAATATGAACTTCTGCTCCTTCATTGTTTGACAGTTGATACTGTTGCTGAAAAGCTGTTTCTTATTTTTAATATTATGTTTTATTTCTTGTATTTTTATCCAGGCTGACTTGCTTACCTATTTGTGTTCCAAGTTTCTAAAATCTACTTCCTTCTGCTGCAGATTGTTCTGGATGATCTATCACGTGCAAGAGAAAGATTTGTTCTAGCATCTGATCTGCATTTGGTTTACTTGGCAACACCAATAAATGTTGAAGTTGAGCCTGATTGGGAATTGTTTTATGAAAGATTTATGGAGCTTTCGTTCTTAGACCAGGTACTTTGGGATTTTTTCTTATAAAGACGCCATTCTTGGATTGAACTTGTTCTTTTCTTGTACTTCGTACTTACATGTTTTGTGTAACTTTCTTAAAATATAGTCAGTTGGCAACCGTGTTGGAGTTATTGAGCCATTCTTGATGCGAATGGCACATGGGGCACCTGTGCGTATTGCAAGTCTATCTAGAAATGTTATCAAAGGATTGCATAGTCGAATAGATTCCCAACTAGGAGTCTCAAAAAGCCATACCCTCTCCGATGAGCAGTCTCTTCGTGTTTGCCGACGTTTTTATGTTGCCCTTATCTTGTCACGATTGGTGCAGGTAGTCTCTTTTGTCATTCATGTTTATTATGGGGATTCCCCTTTTTCTTTTCTTTTCTCTCTGCCTGCTCTTTTGTGCTATTTTGGGCATGTGTTTTCTTGATGACTTATTTTCAATGTAGCATGTTTTATCACCGTCCTTCATTTCTTTCAACTTAGAGATTGATATTCACATGCTCTTTTCTTTTGTTTTTTGGGTATTGAATATTATTTTTAGGAGCAGTAAGAGCTTGTGATAGGTTTTTCTTTAATATCTTTCAGTAAAATAGACCTTTTATCTCTTCATTTCCTTGCTTATGATGTTTCATCTATTAATCTGTTTGTATGTCAATACGTGGTTAAGGAACTACCAGTTGGCGAGGTTTGTGCAGCCTTCAAAGTAGCACGGGGAATGGTTCAAGCTTTACAAGAGAATGCTGGAAGGTTTGCATCCATGGTTTCTCTATTTTGTGAGAGACTCGGTTGGCTTGATCTGGACGGCTTGGTTGCCAAATTTCAAAATCGTGTTTCATTTGGAGTGAGAGCAGAGATAGTAGAGCTTACTACTATTCCATATGTAAAGGTAGATATCATGATGTGGTTCTGTATATAGTGCTGTGGACTTATTATTCATCCTTTCTATGTGCTTGATAGCCAGCTATCCCATATGTATTTTCTTTTATGAATCTAGGGCTCCCGGGCTAGAGCATTATACAAAGCTGGCTTGCGTACTCCTTTGGCAGTTGCTGAAGCATCTGTTGCAGAAATAGCGAAGGCTCTCTTTGAATCATCATCTTGGGCTGCGTCAGGTGAGACTCTAAACTAGTTATGGCCTTTTTGGTGGACTATAGTGTCTTTATCTGGTATTCTGGGTGTGTGGATAAGTCAAATTACTCTTTCAACTAATCTTCCTTTTCATCTTAGAATGTCTTTCCCTGATTTCGTGGAATCTAAATGAGAATTCTTTCCGCTTTTATTTGCATCACTTTATTATGCCAAAACCAGATCAAGTAGCAAAAACTTGCAATTATTTTTCTTGCTTTTATATCCCTCATTTGTGCAGTATTCTTTGGATGTCATTTATCCTTACATGGTCACTGGGTTGTGTTGGAATACTTGTGATGAAGGTTTGCTTTATATAGTATTCAAAATCACTTAAATCTGGTGTAAACCATACTCACGCATGATGAATGTAATGAATGGCCTCTAGTCTGATTACCCTATTTTGTTAGATTGTACAATCAATTGAAGTTCCACAAGCATATTCACTCAACAAATTTTTAGCAATTTTGTATTTCTATTATAATGTGGTTCCAAGGGAAGAATCATGTTTCATTTGTCCTCTTTTCCAAAGTTTTTACATGTTTAGAAATCTTGAAAGTAGGTAACAGGGTGTTCTTTAGATAAATGTATCATTCAAGTTTGGGCATTGATTTCTAAGTAACAGGAATTGAACATTGATTTGCTAAACGGGCTCTAGTCTGATTACCCTATTTAGTTCAATTTGTGGGAAATCTTTCTGGGGGAACTAAGGGCTTGTTTTTATTGAGCATTCCCTAAATTAATTTTACCTCTTCACCTAGATACAAAACCCTCTGATTCTAATAATGGGACTTGCCAAATTTCAGAAAATCAAGCACAGCGGCGTGTTCATTTGGGAATAGCAAAGAAGATAAAAAATGGTGCAAGGAAAATTGTCCTTGATAAAGCTGAGGAGGCGAGAGTTGCTGCATTCTCGGCATTTCAATCACTTGGACTGAGTGTTCCTCAACTTTCTCATCCTGTCTTGTTTCCTGCTTCTGGTGAAGCGACTCACTCTTCTGGAGAAAAAAGTACCAGTAGCTCTTCTCACCATAAAAGAAAGCATTTCTCATCTGAACTGATTGAAAGACAGGGGAATGAAGGTGCTCCAGATTCTAATGCTGGACGGCCGGCAAAAAAATTAATAATTGGCTTGGAAAATTCAGCTGAGGGAAAGGCAGTCAATTCCTTGCCTGGTGCTAGTGCAATTCTAGCTTCTTCTGCATCAGTTGAAGATGTTCCAGTCGAGGCCACAATATCCTCGCCTTGTTTGGGTCAGAATGATACCATGGCATGTGTAGGAGCTGTGATTGAGGGAGACCGGAGACGAGAGAGAAATAATGAGTGCACTGGTGGCAATAAGCAACGTTGTAATGAAAAAGGTCCCATTAATGTAGCTAGTGCAAGCAGTTTAGATGCCCTTTTGGATCTTTGGGAATCTGTTGGAGATTTTTATTTTGATATTCACTTCAACAAAAAGTCTGAAGCAAATTCTATGATTGCTTATGAAGTACTGGGCATTGCCATTTGCTGGGAAAATTCACCCGTGTATTATGTCAATCTCACCAAAATTTTACAGAGCAGCAATTTTGACTCATGTAACAATGAAAGTTCTGGGCAAGTTAATTCAATTGATGCTAACATTTTGTCAGTTACAGAAGTTCTCCGGTGGAATAGGATTGGTAGTTTACTAGGGAGGACTAGTCTTCGAAAATTCACTTGGAATTTGAAACTTCAGATTGTAGTGTTGAGAAATGCTGTTCTTTCATTGAATAAAAACAGCTTGAGTCAGACAATAAAAAGTACAGCCATTGAACTTGTTGACGGATCTTTCTTTAGGTTGCCTAAGGTTATTCTGCAAAATGCAATAGACATCTGTATTGTAGCTTGGATCCTTTGGCCTGATGAGGAGAGGAGCTCCAATCCAAATCTTGAGAAGGTAATTCTTTGTTGCACTTCCTTTATGTCAGTCAGTCCCCTCCAAGTAGATTACTAAATATGGCTGATGATGATTTATCACTCAGTCTCAGTGCAGTATTATATTTTAATGTTTTTCTTTGCTATTTAACAGAAATGAAAGAGAAGCCATTGTGAGTTTCAATTGTTTTGATTATCTATAAAATGCACTTTAGTATATTTTTTGAAACAACCATGAATTTGAGCTCTGTGATTGATGACAAAAGGTCACTGCATCTCACTATTTTCACCACTATATTGTTATATAATTGTGGCTTTCAGTTTCTGACACCGACACTGAAATTGTCTAGTGTTTCATGTTATGTATCAATTATGTGCTCTCTTTAAGTTGGAAGCTCTTCTATCACACATTTACTCGAGGCTTGGTTTAATCTCTAGAGCTGTGCTTATTGTTCTATATCCTCTGTTAAACAGGAAGTTAAGAGGCGTTTAACTAATGACGCAGCAGCAGCAGCTAATCAGAGTGGAAGGTGGAAAAATCAAATGCGAAGGGCTGCACATAATGGCTGCTGTCGCCGTGCTGCTCAAACGCGGGCCCTACAATGTGTTCTTTGGAAATTGCTTGTTTCTGAAGAACTTGTTGATTCACTTTTGGGAATTGAACTTCCCTTGGTAGGGTTTATATTTGCAAGCTAATTTCTATTAACTTTTAATAGTTTATTAGTTGGATCTACTTGTGGTTAATTTCTGTTTGTTAACTCATTTAACACAATGATAAAATACGTAAAGTCAAGTGTTTTTTATTGTCCTCTGAGGGATCTCTTTCTTCTTGACATACTGTCCTTATTTTCTTTGCTTCTTTCACCTTTCTGTATGGATCTTCATGAAGCTCTTGGCACTAATATGTAAGGGTCTTCTTGAATACCTTTGCAGTTGTACTTCATATAGTCAAAGGCTATGTCTGTTTAACTATCTATGTTTTGTTAGCAGATTTATTTGACCATATACATGGCTAGTTATTGCTAATTTATACTTTGTATTTGCTTAATTATTATTATTATTATTATTATTATTTATTTATTTATTTATTTTTTTTTTTTTTTTTATTATTATTTTTTTTTTTCAGTCTTCTTTAGATGCAGAAGCCATATAAAATTCATTTTTTGAAGACTTGGCTACTTAAATTAACTTAATTTATAGGGTTTACATCTGAGCAGATGTTACAGGCAATCTGTCGTGGACTTGAAATATGATTGTCCCCGTCCCTTTGGAATACCCCGCCCCTTTGGAATACGATTGTCATTTACTCAAGGGTCAGAAGCTGTTTCAGAATTGATAATGTTATACAATCTGTTGCTTTGAGAGGGTTTTGTATTTCTGCTAGCTGTCTCTATGTGATTGCAGCTTGGATGGCCTAAAATTCAGCAGTAATTTCTTGTCACACCAGATAGAGCTCTTAACATTTGCAATCCACTGTCCTTTACTGTTGGTATAAAGCCTACAAAGTACAAATCCCATTCATACCTTTCACTAAGGTAGGTGGAGACCAGAGAGAGATAAGCATCCACATTAATCATAACTTTTTATATTGAAGGTCTTACCCTATGTTGGTTGGGTTTTGTATGTTTAGGGGACTTGATTGGGTGGTATAGAACTCTGATACAATCCTGTTAAGGGCTTTGAGCCAGGAATGGATGGGGGGTAAAAGCAATTATGAAATTCCAAGAAGTAATATTGGTTTTGTAATTGGAGGTATGTTTGCTGTAAGCCTATGCTGCAAAGAAAGGGTGAAACAATCAGGGGGAGGTCTCAGTAGAATTCAAGTTTCTTTTGCTCTCAGACAATCACTAAATATGCTAGGTGTTTTTTTTTTTTTTTTTTTTTTTTTTTTTTTTTTTTTTTTTTTTTTTTTTTTTTTTAAAATTCACGGCACAAACCTTTGGGGAGAAGATTAGCATGGAGTATCTCTCCAGGCATGCCATAGTATAAATTTCTGCTTCTCAGGTGGTCTTAGCTGCCACATCCACTTCTTAGCTTGACCAGTTTCTTGGCAGACCAAAGGATAGAGTCATAGAGTAGGCCTCAGAAAAGTTGAAGTATGATTAAAATCCCAGTGACATAAAGGATGGTCTTTTGATAGTGGTGGTTGGGATTGATATGGTGGGAGTTTCCTTATTATGATGTGGAAAAATTTGCTCCAGGTCAGAGAGTTCCCATCCCGTTTACTTAGAAGTTTAGGGTAGGCAAATTTTGTCGTGATGGTTGTTGATTGGTCATTTTGCTACTTAATCGTATTGAAATGTGGAGTTTTCTAAATTATTGTACCATTTTTAAAATTTTGTTTTTTTTTTTTTTTTTTTTTTTATTTTTTTATTTTGGTAAAAATTTAAACTTTGTAATTGTTTATTATAATTCCCCTGTAGGTTCATGTCCTAGCAGAAATGGAGGACCAGGGAATAGGTGTTGACATGGAAGGTTGCCTCAAGGCACGGCAAGTGATTGGTAAAAAGCTTAAGATTCTTGAAAAGGAAGCTTACAAACTTGCTGGCATGGTATTTTCACTGAATATGCCTGCAGATATTGCAAATGTGCTCTATGAACACTTGAAGCTCCCAATACCTGAGGGACACAACAAAGGAAAACAGCATGCCAGTACAGACAAACATTGCTTAGATGCGCTAAGGTACCTTCTTGGATCTAATCGTTTATGAGTTGCTTATTTATCTTTGAGGTTCTCACTGGTTTTGTAGTGAAATTGCAAGCTTCACTTTTGGACAGATTGTTTTGGCTGTCCAATTTATTTAAATTTTTTGTTTTAATTGCCCATCGTCACTAGTGTCTCATTCCTTCAAAATTTGTTGCTATTTCTTTTCTACCCTAAGGTAAACTCTTCTAAACATAGGGAATACTGTTTTGCTCTGAGATCTACTATCTGAAAATGGTGGTCTTTTATAGTCTTTTCACTCTTTTGGTTTTAGCTAACACTTTGATGGTCATAAGATGTATACTTGATAATGAATTTGAAGGATGTGTGTCATTCACAGTGGTGTCACGATATAAAGTGTGACTCTGATCCTTCAAAGCACTATTTTCTCTAATGAAGTCTGCAAAACAGAGCCTTCAAAATTTATTTTCTATTGATCTCATTTCCCCACTTATATGGGATTAAGGCTTTGATTGATTGATTGGTTGATCTCATTTGATTGGCTACTTTCTGTCTGCCACCATAAATTACAAGGAGACCTTTGTATTGCTGTCTATGCAGAGCAATGCCCTTAGGGATGATGCTATATATAATTTTGTGGGCAATCTATGTTAATGAAAGTAATGATAGAAACAAGGTTTTTCAATCAGACTTTGCTGCGGGTGGGGGTGGATGTGGGTGGGGAGTGTGGGTGTGGGTGTGGGTGGGGGTGGGGTGGGGGGGGGGAGTGGGTTGGTGCATGTGTGTTAGACTATATTCGTGCAGTAAATGTTTTTAATATATGTATATACTGCAATATACTTCCTCCAGAAAGAAAATAAGTTGGCATTATACATTGATTTTTCAGATAGGAGAGGCATTAATCGATGCATCACTTTGTACATCTTATGTATGTTTGATCTTAAAATGTTGAACTTATAAGACACTACCAAGTACTTTCTATATGTTAATCTTTCAGTGTATTATGCTAACTTTCTAATTTGCAGGCTTGAACACCCTATTGTTCCAGTGATAAAGGAGCATCGGACATTAGCAAAGCTCCTGAATTGTACTTTAGGATCAATATGCTCTTTAGCAAAGCTATCTATGAGGACACAGAGGTATACATTACATGGCCGTTGGCTCCAAACATCAACAGCTACTGGACGACTTTCAATGGAGGAACCCAACCTTCAGGTTCAGGATCCTTTTTCTGGTTGAATATCTGTCATTTGCTCTACTTTCTTTGTCATTAGCATACAAAAATTTAGCTAAATTGTTGGTGCATGGAAAATTTGCAGTGTGTTGAACATATGGTTGAATTTAGAATGCATCAAAATGGTGATGGTCAATGTGATTCTGATGGTATAGATTATAAAATCAATGCGCGGGATTTTTTTATTCCAACTGAGGTGAGGCAGATGCCTATACTCTTTCCATTTGTTTACTTCTATCCGAGCATTGGTAGCAATTGACGTTTTCTTTCAGGAAAACTGGCTTCTCTTAACAGCAGATTATTCTCAGATAGAACTGAGGTTGATGGCTCACTTCTCTAAGGACGCTTCTCTGATTGAACTACTTAGTAATCCTCACGGTGATGCCTTTACCATGGTAGCATCTAGATGGACGGGCAAGCTGGAATCCAGTGTAAGCTCTCAAGAGCGCGACCAAACCAAAAGACTAGTATATGGCATTCTTTACGGCATGGGTGCTAATTCGCTTGCTGAGCAGTTGCACTGCAGTGCAGATGAAGCCAAAGCGAAGATTCAAAGTTTTAAAAATTCTTTCCCCGGCGTCGCTTCTTGGCTTCATGAAGCTGTTGCATTCTGCCGTCAACGTGGGTACTAGATTATTCCCCACCCCACTCACCACCCACCCACACATAGTATCCATTGGTTTTTATCTTGTCTTTCATTCTGCACTCATTTTGGACAAAGAAGATACCCACCCCACCCACCACCCACCCACACTTAGTATCCATTGGTTTTTATCTTGTCTTTCATTCTGCACTCATTTTGGACAAAGAAGATATTCATTGGCATTAGAATGATGTCCTTGTATAATGAATAGGAGTAATTTAACTCTCAAGACAAAGAAAATAGTAAAAAAAAAATAAAAACCCCTCTAATAGACTATCAAACAAAGCAAACAATGATTTCTTCCCTCTTGAAAGAGTAATGAAGATTTCTTCACTTATACCTCATTTGAAGGGCTATAGATCAAATCTTGAGTAATTTTGCAAAGAAAACTGTTTAGTCTATGTAGTAATTTCTTCTGTTTTGATATTCAAGGTTTGGCTAGAAAGTAGATGACTTAGCTTTGCTTCACTGATCTTGCAATTTACTAGTAACTAGCATGCCGATATCCTGCTGTATATTCATGTGTAACAAATTGGTTATATATATATGTCCCTTAATCAATGTTAACCCGTTCTAATTTGTTTTGCTCCACATGCTGTATTGCTGTCATAGTGTATCCAGCATCCTGAGTTTAAGGGTCCGTTGTGATGTTAGGAAAGTTTAAGAACATTGGTTTTTTTTTTTTTTTTTTTTTTTTTTGTTTTTTTTCTTCCCTTCTGGCCCTCTTGGAGAATATAAAATTATTACCATTTTTTTTGCCATTTTGTTTTGTTTCATTTCCAAAAATCTATGTTATAAATCATGTGAAGCAGTAATTCATCTTTAGTTTCATGAGCACTAGATTTAGGTCTTGCCACTGCTCCCCTTAGTTTCCACCTTGTCAGACATTCACTTTGTCCATCTTTGTGGTGCAGATATGTGCAGACCCTTAAGGGTAGAAAACGTTTCTTATCAAAAATACAATTTGGTGATGGTAAGGAGAAAGCTAAAGCTCAGAGACAAGCTGTGAATTCTATATGTCAGGTACCATCTTCTATTTGCTTGATTAATTCTGTTACCTTGCTTAAGGGAAAGGGAATTTATATTCAATAATTGGCATCTTCATCTAACAGGGTTCTGCAGCTGACATAATTAAGATTGCAATGATCAACATATACTCTGAAATTGCTGGATCCGAGACAAATAGTTCTACAGATGCACATGTGACAAACTTTTCCATGCTCAAGGGCCGTTGCCATATTCTTTTGCAGGTTTGCCATACATATTGAATGGTGTTTAATTTATGAAATTTGGAAATTTGAGTTAATAAAAGTACCTGAGAGTTGGGAGACTTTTTGTACATCTGTTGTACTAAAAAAATTCTCTGTCAGAGTACCATCAATTAGCCTAGCAGTCTGGAAAATTGAATGAGACATTTCACATCTTTGAATCAATTTGGTTACTGACATATAGCCGGCAACCAGTGGGGTGTGTTTGGCTGGAGTATCTTGTTGGCACTTCCCATCATGCTTGAAAGTAGCTCTTGCTTTCATATATGCTTCATCATTTCTGTCATAATTATGTTTTTTTACCTGTTTTTCTGTCATCATCATGCTTGTCACATTTTATGTCCTATATTATGTACATGGTTCTACACTAATGTCAATAATCTTCTGAGCATGTGTTCAAGATATATCATTCAAATGTTTTCCTTCATTGCCAGGTGCATGATGAGTTGGTTTTGGAAGTTGATCCATCTGTTTTACGGGAAGCTGGTTTATTGCTGAAGACGAGCATGGAGAGTGCTGCTTCCCTCTTAGGTTTGTCTTGATGATTTGCATGATAATAATATTGTTATCCTAATTTTAATACTCATCAGTATTGTATGGTGTTGCAGTCCCTCTACAAGTGAAGGTGAAGGTTGGCAGAACTTGGGGTTCATTGGAGCCTTTCAATGTCAATGACTAAAGAGGATAAGGGTGCTTTATATTCGAAGTTTCTCCATCTTGCCGGCCACCAGTGGGTTCAATTGTGGTGGGTGTATCTTGTTGGGTTTCAAAGGAGGTTAGATTTGTGCAAGAGATGAAGGAGCAACACCAACATGTGCCCTTCCATTGTCTGGGTGTGGCCATTGTCTGGTGTGATCTCTGACCAGATGAGACTAGTTGAGCTTGAGGCCTTGAGGGCTGAGAGAGATGGCTTAAAATTCAGGGATATTTTGCATGGAGGCAGTTGGAATTATTTGAATGGAGCTATTATTTAGAGCCGAAGGATTGGAAATTTGATTCCTGATATAGCTCGTCCTCCATCGATATTTATGCAGATTCTGTGAGCCATTGCTGCATGAGACTGTCTTTAACCAACGTTGGACACCACAGATCTTCATGATCGTCTGTCATCAGTCTCGTTTCGCTGATGAGTTGCTGCCTTATTGGATGATAATCAGATGCTACAAGGGATTGCCCTGGGAGCTATCTTGCTTTGTGCGTACATGGCTTGTTAGACAACAATGTCTGTCAATGCTGGAAGAGTTGCAGATGATTGACTTGCTTTCAATGTTAATTTCTATGAATGTCTCTTTGTGATCTTCCACCTGTTGATCATCAATTAATTGCTGAGGTATTGTGTCATTATCCTCTTCATTTGTATATTTAGTGTAAAATTTTTACTGATGACAAGAATTATTTTTCAGATAACTATTCTAGTTATCAAAGCTGGCAATTTGTTCACAGAAAATAAAGATAAAGATTACTTGCGTTCTTATGTAAAATCTAACATCAATTTATATCTGAGCCTATAAAGATACTTAGATATATAAAAATGTCTTTGAAATTAATGTTCATGTATTTTTTCTGGCCTGTCACGTACTTTGTTTTCATAATCTATTCCTCATTTTATTCAGCATGGATGGAGAGTGTTATGTGTTATTAGGTATTCAATTTCTTTATTACAAACTAATACTTGATAATCCTAGTTAAATTTTATCTTTTGTAATTTGTAACTGTAGTAGCTCGAAAACTTTAGTGGATTCTTGATTCAATTTAAATTTTGATAAAATTATCTATGAACATATAGGCAAAGAAAAGTTTGGCACACCAAACCTTAGATTTAAAAACATGCATAAACCCTGAAGCTATATTTCACAAGTTTAAGGGCAAAAAATGACCAAAATTTGTATATCTACTCTTCTTGATCAAACAAGCTACACCATGCCATAGTTGTACAAAAATGCATTACACCCCGACTTCTGGCAGGTGGCAAACTTCATTCCTAATAGCTAGGAAATGAATGATGTGATTCTACACATTTTCTTTTGAAATGACGACCTATTTAGCAATCCATAATACATCATCATCAAGTAGAAAATGGCAAATAGCACATGTTTTAGGCTCAAATTGAAAGGATAGCGAATGAGCATGGTCATCTAAGTTTGAATTTTTGTGGCAAACTGCTGGTGCATTCAAGGTGGAGCTGTCTGAACCCACCAAAGTTGCTATGTACACATTCATGTTCTCTCTCTTTTGGCAATAGAACACAGCGCAAGGGAAAGGGATCTTATGGCAAGTTACTGCTTGAGCACCACATGGAAGCTTCTTGATCCCTGTGACTTTGTACTCCATATTGATATCTTTATCTATGTTTGCCGATATTGCCTTAAGTTGCGATCCTATCGTAGCAGTGGCAAAATCAACCATGGATTCCAAGGAGTAACAACACTTATCACCACCTTGTTCATCCTCGCAATATTGTAGTGTTTCGTTCATCATGGTGGCCTCTAGTGAGTCTTGTTTCAGATTGAAGTGTTTTAAGATTGCGGGTAAGTTGGCTAAGGAGAAATGTAGTTTTTCAACCATATCTCGAGATACGAAGGTGGTTGGATTAGTCGACTTCATGAAGTGGAGGTTCATTTTCTTCCCTAGGCTTAAGTCACTCTCGGAAAAGAAGAGTGAAGCAACAGCATCCACAATACTGGAAATGTCTTGTTTCATGGTTTGGGAGCCTTCGAGTGACTCAATGGAGGAGGATTTCTCCATGCCTTTGGGTGAGTCCACAGGTGCTCCGTAGCTTTTGCTCATGTCTGTAGCGGATGATCTAGGAGGGCCATAAAAACTCTTACTAGAGCCTGCAGCATTGTTTGAGGATTGGGTGGAAGACTGACTGGATGATTTACTAGAGGCATGGTTGGATTGTTTATTAAAGGCATGATTAGAAGCCTTGCTAGAGTGTTGACTGGAGTTTTGACTTGATTCTTGGTTAGATTGTTGTCTTGATGATTTCTTAGAATCCTCACTAGACTTTTTCCTTGATTCAAAGTTGTGGCTTGAATGGTGTTTGGATAATTGGCTAGAATTATTTTCCGAGGCTTCCTTAGATGCTTCATTAGCTGGTTGACTTGAGGCTTGTTGTGAAGCTTGGCTAGAGTGTTTGTTTGAGGTTTCATTGGATGATTTACTAGAGCGTTGGCTTGAGGATTCATTAGATGAATGAATAGGTTTTTGGCTTGAGGCTTGATTGGATCTTTTATAAGAGGGTTTGTTGTATAATTGATCAGATCCATCATCCGAGTCTTGGCTAGAGGACTTACTTGAGAATTTCCCTGAATCTTCTCTAGAGTGTTGTCTTGATTCTTTTTTATTAAGTTCTTGGTGTGAATGTTGTCTTGAAGTTTCACCAGATGCTTGCCTAGAGTTTTGGCTTGTGTCTTGGTTAGGTACTTGACTTGAGTGTTCGCTTGAAGTTTTCTTGGATGTTTTGCTAGAATCTTGACTTGAGGCTTGCTGAGCATCTTGGCTAGTTGTTTGGCTCGGGGCTTGTTGGGAATATTGACTATAGGGTTGGTTTGAGGAATTATTCGATGCTTCATTAGAATGTTGGTATGTGGATTTATCAGATGATTCACTAGAGTGTTGGTTTGATGCTTCGGTAGATGATTGGTGAGAGTGGTGGTTTGAGGTTTGATCGGAATCCTGACTAGAATGTTGTCTAGATGCTTGATTTGTTCCATTAGTTGAGTGTTGACTTGAGGATTTATCAGAAGATTTCAAGGAATTTGTATTAGAGTGCCTTTTTGATTCTTCACTTGATAATTTTCCTGAAGCTTGCCAAGACTTTTGGTTTGTGACATTATTATTTTCTTGGTTTGAATTCTGGTTTGAGACTTGTTGTGACGCTTGGTTAGAGGTTTCTTGGGATGTTTGGTTAGAAATTTGGTTAAAGGGCTGATCAAAAGTTTTAGTGGGGTTTTGGTTTGATTGACCAGATACTTTATTGGAGTTTTGGTTTATGGCTTCGTTAGATTCTTGGGTGGATTGCTGGTTTGATGCTTGATTAGAATGTTCTCTAGATGCTTGATCAGATTTTTCAATAGTATGTTGGCTTGAATTGTGGCCATTTAAGGAGTGTTCAGATCCTTGACCTAAGTCTTGGCTAGATGTTTGATTGGAACCTTTATTAGAGTATTGGTTTGAATGGTTACTTGATACTTGTTCGGATCCTTGATTTGAGTGTTTTTTTGAAGCATTATTGGAATGATGGCTATATGTTTTACCAGAATTTTCATCACAGTGTTGGTTAGAGGATTTTTCATAGGCTTGGCTAGAGTGGTTATTGCTTGAGGTTTGTGAAGATCTTTGACCATAATGTTGGCTTGAGGATTTTCCAGATGCTTGGCTAGAGTAGTTACTTAACCCTTGTGAAGATCCTTGACTAGAGTGTCGGCTTGAGGATTTCCCGGATGCTTGGCTAGAGTAGTTACTTGAGCCTTGTGAATATCCTTGATTAGAGTGTTGGCTTGAGGATTTCCCGGATGCTTGGCTAGAGTAGTTACTTGAGCCTTTTGAAGATCCTTGACTAGAGTGTTGGCTTGAGGATTTCCCAGATGCTTGGTTAGAGTGTTTGCTTGAGCCATATTCAGATACCTTACTAGAGTGATGCCTAGAAGTTTGATTGGATTCTTCATTAGCTTGTTGGCTTAAGGCTTCTCCAGAGGCTTGGCTAGAGTTATTTGTTGAGGCTTGTTTGGATCCTTGAATAAGTTTCTGGCTATATTCCTGATCATATCCTTTATTTGTATCCAATCTTGAGGAATTGCCGGATGTTTGGTTAAAGGAGTGATTTGAGTTTTGATCTGATGCTTGGTTAGAGTGTTTGGATGCTTGGTTAGAGTTTTGACTTGAAGCATGACTTGAAGATTTATCAAATGACTTTTTGGTTTCTTGATTTGTGTTTTGATTTGAGCCCTGAGTTGAGGATTTCTTAAGAGAATTTCCTGTTGCTTGACTAATGTTTTTGTTGGAAGCTTTACTTAAAGGCTTATCTATTGGTTGTTTTGATGCATGACTTTGATTATCGCTTGAAGATTTTGAAGAAGACTCGTTGGAAGCTTGGTTGGAGTTTTGAATTGATGAGTTCTCAAAAGATTGCCTAGATGCTTGATTTTTAGAATTATTAGAAGATTGTTCAGATTCGTGATTAGAATTGTTATTAGAATTGTTATTTGATGATTGAGTTGAGGACTCTCTAGGGTATTGTTCAGAAGAGTGATTCGTGTAGTCCCTATTTGATTCTTGGTTTGATGACTTAGATCCTTGTTCATCAAATGCATGTTTAGAAGTTTTGCTTGGTGCTTCACCTAATGCTTGGCTAGAGTTTTGACTTAAGGTTTTTTCAAAGGCTTTGTTGGATTCTTTTCTTGATGGTGTATTTGGCGATTTCTCAGCTGTTTGATTTGTTCCTTCAGTTGAACTTGATGTTTTATTTAACATCAAGGCTTGATTTGAATCTTGATTAAATGATGTATTTGGTGATTGGGTTGATTCTTGGCCTGCAGGTGTTTCAGGAGATTTGTTAGAAGCTTTATTTGAGTCTTGATCTGACTCTGATGCTTGACTTGACGCTTTACTTAAATCTTGTCTAGAAGAATTTTCTAAAGATTGGCTTGATGATCCTTTAGACGACTGACCATTAGCTTTGCTTAAGCCTTTTGTTGAACTTGGTGCTTGGCTTGATTCTTGCCCAGTATGCATATTAGAATATTGATTAGATGAGTTACTAGAAGCTTTAGCAGAATTTGATGTTTGGCTTGATGACTCTGATGACCCTGATTCATGACTTGATTTGTGACTTAAAGATTTTCTTGATGTGTGACTTGAAGATTTTCCAGAAGCTTGACTTGTGGCATGGTGTGACCATGACGAATGGCTAGACGAATGGCTAGAATGCTCACTTGACCACTTGCTCGACGATTGACTTGAAGTTGATGAAGAACCAAAATTTTTATCGTTTGGTGTTTCAGTGCCAGTATTAGCTTCAACATCTTCCATTTGTTTATTTGTGTTAAAATTGGAACCTCCAGAACCTTTAGATCCAACATAACTTTTAAACTTAAGCATTGCGTTGCCATCCATTTGTGCGTGACCTTCTAAATTGTTATTTTCTACAAAAAGAAATAAATAAAAAATTTGTAAGACATGTCAAAGTTTATACAAGCATCATTTTTGTAACCGAAGAAAATATTTCATTGTCATGAGTAAAGAAGATCAAGTTCAAACAAGAAAGACCTTCACAAATTGATTATATATTTTTAGTCTTTTAGCATTGAACATTAACCTTATCACCTTTATTGTATTATATCTATCAAATTAAATAAGAAATTCAAAAATAAAATTACAAGAAACAAATAAGTAAGAAATATACCTTTTAAAGAATCCGTAACAGCCTTTGGCATTTTTGTATTTTCTCCTAAATGTTGTTTCCAATATTCTTCTTGCTTATGAAATCTGGTATAAGAACTTGACTCAGATGATGTGTGAGACTCTGAAGAATATTCTGAATTGCTGTTAGTATTTTCCATTTCACCTTCTGATTGTGAAAATGTTACATGGGTTGTCATTATTGCTAGCTGCAATATCAACAAAAAAATGATAATTAAATAAACAATTAAACAAATGAATAAACTTTTGTCGAATATAATAATTAAAATAATCATTATTTAATACTTCCTCATTTTGTTAGTTCTACCATATTGATCGTCCATTAATATCTATAACTATATATCAATAAGAATATTGTAAATATTTTGACATATTGAGACAAATCTAATAACAGTTTATTTTACATGTTTATGGAGAAATATGGTTAGACTGAGTGCTCCTATATAAATAAAGAGGTAAAACTAAAATATTAAACGGAGAACATAAAATTAAGATACAAAGATAATGTGATTTACATGGACAAAAGTGACAATTAGAAGGATGCGTGACTCCATTAAAACTTTTGCAACCGGACTAAAGAAGATTCAACTACATATACATGTATATGATGAAGAAATTAGAATAAGATTGATATAAAGATATACTCTTTATTTTTACTTTGCTTCCCTTTTTTTTTTTTTTTTTTTTTTTTTTTTTGGAATGCAATGATAGCGAGAAGAAATTAATGTGACTAAGATTTGAAGACAAAATGAGACATAGTATTTATATAATTTTAAAGTGAAGATTTTCAATAATTCTCTTCCATTAATCTATTTTAGGAAATTTTGGCGAATGGCTTAGCATGGTTATAAATTTGTTAATTGTATTCTATATATAAATATTGGGTGATCTTAAAAAGGCAAGAATTTATATTTAGAAAGGGATTAGAAGGAAACCACTCCTTTTCGAACGAATAAAGGAAGCACAGTTATTCGTTTTTTCTAGTTTATTAATTTCCAATCCATTAATAACATTGATACATACATATACAATCATCGTTTTTTTTTTTGATGAAATTCTTTGTTTCTCGGTACATCTAGCTAAAATTTCGAGTTTTTTCACTAATAATGTTTTTTTTTTTTTTTTTTTTTTTTTTTTTTTTTTTTTTTTTTGCAATATTAATGGTGAAAATTAGTATGTGTTGACACATGCGTAAAAGTTAATATATTGCATGTACTAAGATAATGAGAAACAAAATCTATTTTGAAAATTAATCAAGGTGCTTGGATACACAACCATGCATACAATATTACATACACAGTAGTACATTTACACTCCATATTACAAGCAGTAGTAGAGCTACATTATATTGCAAACGTTACACTAAATGGTAATTAAAGAGAAGTAAGATGAATTTGCATAGCTTTGTTGAGGAGGCGGCACAATATAATGCCTACTATACTTGACATGCTCGATCTTTCAAATTCAATCCACAACTTATTTATTATATCAATGAACAAAGGTTGAATATAAAGCAACTTCTAAGATCACATAACATCATCAACACTAACAAGCTCATACGTGTACCATTGTACATTTGTACGCGAATTTGTCACTTAGGCACCCATATAACGGTATCCTCAGCAGCCGGGAAATGGCAAATATGCGTACTTCCCGGCACAACTTTAAGAACATTTTTCGCGTAATTGTCCAAGAAACCATTTGTTTCCTTGTGACACGCAGCAACTGCCTCTATTTTGCTACCATCTTTTCCTACTAAGGACACCATGTAAGACCTTAACGTCTTTGTCCTATGGCAGAAAAACACGGCGTAAGGGTAGCCCATCTTGTGGCAAACTACGGTCTCACGATCATTTTTAACTAGTTTTTTCACCCCATCGATTGTGTACTCCATTTTCGCGTCTTTCTTTACTTGTGTTGTAAGTGCTTTCACATTAGTACCAATCATGGAGATAACGTAGTCTACCATGGACTCGAGTGAGGTCACACATTTCTTCTCGACTCCTTCGATTGTAGGCTCCTCACAAAGCTCGATTCTCTTCGAGAGAACATAAGCCTCATTCGATTTAGGGTCCAAGGAAAGAATTTGGAGAGTTTCGGGTATCTTTTTAGATGAGAAAGGGATCTTCTTGGAGAGCTCGCGAGGTAGGAAGAAACCCTTTTTTATGCTCCTTTGAAAGTGCAAGGTCATTTTTGCACCAAAGCGAAGGTTTTTCTCTACAAAGAAAACTTGATCTTTGGTTACACTATTAGCATTATCATCAACATGGACGGACTCTTTGGTATTGACAGGTTGTGCATTGTAAGATAACAAACCAATATAGCCATTGGTAGATGCTAATCCTTTTTTATTATCGTAAGATAACAAACCAATGTAGCCATTGGTAGAAGCTAATCCTTTTTTATTATCGTAAGATAACAAACCAATATAGCCATTGGTAGAAGCTAATCCTTTTTTATTATCGTAAGATAACAAACCAATGTAGCCGTTGGTGGATGCTAATTCTTTTTTATTACCGTAAGATAACAAACCAATGTAGCCATTGGTAGATGCAAATGTTTCTTTTGTACTTCCTTTAAGTGGCATATTTGTTGATTCAGCTCCTGCATTAGATTCAAATCAAAGAAAATAAATTTATACCGAGTATGAAGTAGTTTATTTTTATCATAGTACAACGTAAAAAAAGGATTTATATATTATACACTGCCTCTGATTTTTGATTGACACAACTATACAAGCTCTTAGAGTTTATTCCCTTCAGATCAGATTATTAGAAAAACTTATTAATTATTCTAGTCCAAAACAGACTATATCACATTAGATTAGAAATATAATTTCATTTACTTTATACGTAGTACTTGTTATATCTCTAGACGTGGATACTTTAATTATATAAAGAAAGAATAAAGAAAAAATGGAAAGAACTTCATGAAACTGTCCTAAAGTAAAAACGGGGAAATTCATGAACAGCAAAGAGTTAATAAGAAGTGTATTTTCATATTAAATGTGTTCTTACAATTGCATTTGTGTCTCAATATATATATTATGTTCAGATTAAAAAAAATATTGTATCATCAATTAGTAACAATGAATACTTTTTTCCTCTTATCATGTTGCTGGGATCAATATTTCCACGAAAGAAATAATTGTTGCGTACAAAAAAAAAAAAAAAAAAAAAAAAGAGTAAAATACAACATTCAAATGGTCTATTTTTCATTACCACTTGAAAACCACTTCTAACGTGTTAAGATAATCATAATATACAAATATTATCAACATAAGTTTATAGTCACCCTAAAGCTGGTTAAATACTACCCTGACATAAGGTGTTTTTATTTTATTTTTTACAACCCCCTAACATAAGGTGAAATGCTGTTAACAGTAAAATTATTGTTGTACATCCAAGGCACACAAAAATGTTTATTTTTTATTTTTTATTTTTTTTTATTAAAATTAGCCAGGGAAAAAAGCACTCTTTGTGTTTCAAAATAATTGCAAGTGTCGCAACAAGTTGACTGACAAAATGGTCAATACATTTTGCAACAGCGGGAGTAAATAAAAACAAAGAAAGTTGTGCATAAGTAAGAAATAAACCAGTTGAGGGCAGTATGTTCTTGATAGATTGGAGCATGGGAGTGTAAGGCAGCTTAAGCTTCCAGTAAGCTTCTGGAGAAATTGATGCAGGAGCAGAGCTTCCCAGTTTCACCAGTGCAAGCTGAAGCAAATATATTTCAAAATTTTTAAATAAAAGATCTTTTTTTTATATAGATGAGTTTAATAAAATTCCACGTTTGTAGTCAAAGTAGCATATGTGAATACAAAATCAAAGTGTTGCACTGTTACAAGTAAAAAAATGAAGGAAATATATGGTTATAATTTGTTACCAATATTATTAAGAAAGGTGACAAATTATTGATTTGTATATCCAAAGATTGAATAAATGATTATTAATTTCAAACAGAGAACTCGATTTGTTTCTTTAACATCATCGAGTGGATTATAATAAACATAAGCAATGCATTTGCTAATTAGAGCACTTACAGTGAATAAAGAAAATAAGAGCAGATGGAACTTTGCCATTAGAACAACTTTGAAACTCTTACAAAATATTATTCCTACAATTTTAGGAGAAGACAAGATAAGAAACTATTGTAGATAGAACTGTGCGGACTATACAGGGTATTTATAAGCTAGGACTACATATTTTTGATACGAAAAAAATAAATATATAATCCCTCCGTTTTTTATTGTTTTTCTCGTTTAGAATTTTGTGAGACAAAATTAGTCAAAGTAAGAAAAACAATAAGAAACGGAGAGAAATAAAATATAATAACATATTAAATATAAATTTGATGATAAGCATAACTGCATAATGGTACAAAGTTATTTATTAAAAAAACATAATAGTGACAGATAAAACTAGAAGATAGCAGATAGTAGATAACAATGTGACCATGCAATTTACGTTCTGGTACAACTTGAGTTTAATGAAGGGGCAATTATTAATTTTGGACAAAATTACGGAGATGTGTGATTTTTCGTTATGCGGAGCTACACGATGAACGAGGTATGAGTAAGCCAGCAATTAGATAAAAGTTTACGGTACGTAGTTTGTTTGTGTCTCGCTGTCCTGAATCATATGTAATTTACTACTTACTCTGTCCCCACCGAATCATTCGCATCACTTTTTCTATAGAACCTTATGAAATTACTTGCAATTTTACAAAGCTTTTATACAAGGCCTAAACCCTGAATTTTAGGATCATTTTTACGGTACAACTATCTGTAAAAAAAAAAAAAAAAAAAAAAACCTCCTACTTTATTTATTTATTTATTTTTTTAACTAACTAACTGCATAAAAAAAACAACGAAATACTTCACCTATCAACCACCATCCAATAAAAATGCCTAAAATCTTATGCACAAATTCTTATATGTGGCTAACGACACATCGTGTGGCCAACCATTATAGAGGTTGCTTCGTTAGTGTAATAAGGATTACTTGGTCAGTGTTAAAGGGGGGTTACTTCGTCAGTGTTATAGGGTTACTTGGTCAGTATTACAGGGATTACTTGATCATTGTTATAGAGATTATTTTATTATTTTATAAGTGGCCACACAGTGACACAAGACGAGTTGAATCCTATATATCTTAAGAAGTAGCGACTAATTAGACTTAGGAATTGCAGAAGTACTAATTTTTTTATACAACAAATTAAGTGGAACACAGAATATTAGGTCATGCGAGTAGTAGTTTTCTTTACTTAATCTAGGATAATGGTATATATACAATTCATATGCATATTATTAATAAATTAAATCGGGCATTAATTTAAGAATTTATAAAAAAATTAGTCTTCAAACATACTTAATATTTAATAATTTAACTTAAAAACATTTTCACCTTTTATATGTAAGTATGTAACCTTAGCTTAGCTTAAAGATTATACGAAGTATACCTTAATATTTCGTTAAGATTAAGATTATACTTATATGTAAGTATGTAACCTTAGCTTACCTTAAGATTATACTTAAGTATGTATGCCTAAAAAAATTAGTCTTCAAACATACTTAATATTTAATAAACTCACTTACATCATCCGATCCTTTAAGCTCTTCCTATTTTTCTTTGACACGTTTGTCAATGTACATTTTAAATAGTTAATATATAATTACATGTTAGGGTTGATATCTTAAAAGTATTTGTTGAAATGAATCAGACACGAATCGATCAGCGCAATAATAGAGAGATGTATAAGATTCGTATCAGCACAAGCTAAACAGGATCTTTTTGTGATTAAACATCTTCAATAATCATCATAACACAAAAAAATATTAACATTCTCTGTCTGCTAACGTCCAATATTTGTTTAGTGCACCACTGCACCTTGGTCTTATGGTCTTTCTTTAATTTATTTCTTCATATACCTTACATTTTGTTAATCAGATCAGTACGTGCAGCACTTTTATTGGTCATATTAGCCAATAGAGCTGCCTAATTTTTACCATACGTATATTTAATTATTACTCCGTGATATAAATTATACTTCAATGTGCATAAGTATTACCGTATTATGGACATTATAACTAAAAACTAATCCCACAACATATATGTTGCACTGTAACAAGTATATTTGTACATTAGTAAAAGACAAAGCCACTAGCTTCTTCAAGCTTATTAAAGAACAATTTTATTAAGGAATAACTTATTGTACACTTGTTTGTACCAGTTGCAAATATATGTTTGTGTTATGTTCATCTTAGAAATAATGAGCGACTCTGTAGTCTGTACCATAACAAATATAACTATATAATCAGCTGTAACAACGATATCTGAACAAAATATTCAATAATATTATGAAGTAATAAATTATTAGGATATATGGAGTTCTACATAATTTACTAGAATTATGCGCTCTTAATTTCATAATTATTTTCATCATTTTTTTCTAATTTCCAATGAATTGTACGGAGATGCAATTATTTAGCAACTTTGTATAATTAAATGCAAATTGAGCTTTTATATACATATATATACCCAAAATTAATGGTATAAGTACATGTATCCGATCAAAAAAATCATGGAGAAACGAACAAGATTTGCAACATAAGCTAAAATGGATCTCATTGTTATTTAAACCCAAAATAACATTTTTGTACTTTAAACTAATCCTGGGCACCGTGCCGTGCCGGGCCGCCGCGGGCCGTGCCTGGCGGGCCGCGGGCTGGTTCGTGCCGTGCCGGTCGTGCCGGCGGGCCTAGGATTTCGTGCCGTGCCGTGCCGGCCATTTTCACAGGCCAGCCCACGGCACGGCACGACCCTCGTGCCTGGCGGGCTCGTGCCGTGTCGGCCACGTGCCGGGCTGCGGGCTGGCCTGCGCGGGCTGGTGCAGTTTTCATTTTTTTTTTTTAATGACAACATTATTAATTAATAAGTTTATAATGTATATAAGTTATAAAATTATAATTATAAGTTTTATAAGGTAACTTATAAGTTTATAACTTATAAGTTATAAGTTATTAAGTTATGAATTTTATAATTATAAGTTGAATATTTATGTTTTATAATTTGTATATTCAATATTTATATTTATATATTTACTTTATACTATTACTTTAAAATTTAATGTTTATGATTTATTAGTAATTGGTATAATTTTATTTTTTTTTAATATGAATTTACAAATTGTAACAAAACGGGGAAAAAAGGCAAATTGGACTTTGGATGTGAATAATGCGTACTTTATATTATTATTACTTGAGTTGAGAAAATTGTACAATGATACAATGATAAAAATCATACAATGATGGTATTAAACAAAAATTGGAAAATGATAAAATTGATATTTTTAAAATCGTACAATATACAATAATTGTCTATTCTTCTTCTCCTTCTTCTTGCTCGTCTTCGTCTTCGTCTTCGTCTTCGTCTTCGTCTTCGCCTTCGCCTTCAAGGTCATCGGCTAGTTGCATAGATTGGGAACTAGCCGAACCCGAACCGGAAGCGGAGGTTCCTTCTTCGTTGTCGTTGTGGTCGTAAGAACGGTCTTGTGAGCGATTTTCCGCATCCAACCAATCTTTGAAACACACGCACATTTCTAGTGTTTCGGGTTTTAGACTTGTTCTTCTATCGTCTAAAACCCTTCCGGATGCGCTGAAAGCTCGTTCGGAGGCGACGGAGGAAACTTGGATAGCAAGAATGTCTCGTGCCATTGCCGCCAAAGTTGGATGCTTCGAGCTTTGTTGTTTCCACCATGCAAGGAGGTCGAGGCTGTTTATCTCATCGTCGTCCATGCCTTTGGTGAAGTCGTAACTCAGGTACATCTGCAACTCCGAGACGTCGCTTTGCGTTCTCCTGATTGATGAATCACCTGAAAACCTTGAAATCAAGTTAGTAGCTTGTGAAAATAAATGTTTGGCCTTCTTACTTACGTTTTTGGATGGTTGAGAAGGCCCTGAGCGAGGAACGGTGCCATATTTGGCTTCATAGACTCTATATAAAGCAAAAAACTGATCCTTCACATTAGTCTTATAGTTTTCTACATCATCGTCAAGAAACATGCATTGAAAGTAAATGTCAACTAACATAAATGTGTTTTCATACTTTTGCCTAGGATCTAATATGGAAGCAAAAATATAAATCAAAGGAATCTGACTATAATATTTACGCCACTTTTTTTCCATTGCTGGAAGATACTGATCATAATCACTTTGATCGCGATGATCAGCGAAAAGTTGGGCGAGTAAGCATGCATTAGAAAGAAAGTTTTGAGCACAAGGATTGTAAACAGTAGAAAAACAATACGTCATGTTATATAATAACTGTAAAAATTGCATATATCTTTCACAGTTATTCCAATCATCATCATACAAAGCATTTTGTGGAAATTTTTGGTTGTAAAATAATGTTAACGGGCCCTTGTACTCAATTGCCTTTGTTAACATGTCATAGGTGGAATTCCACCTAGTTGGGCAATCGGTTCTAATTTTTATTACCCTTATCTTTTGTTGTTTTAGAAAACTCTTCCATTCTTGGTATCTCATGTTAGAGCTATTAATAGACATAATAGCATCTCTGATTTTGCTGTAGTATGGGCCAATTGCCCGAACTCCATCCTGTACACATAAGTTAAGTACATGGCAAACACATCTAGTATGAAGAGCTTCACCGTCTAATAGTACATCGGTTAAGTTTTGTTTGATAAGATTAGCTGTGTATGTCATAGAGGTTGCATTATCAAAAGTCATAGACATCATTTTATCTCGAAGGTTGTATTCGTCTATTGCTTGCATTAAATGGTGAGCAATGTTAATGCCGGTGTGTGGGTATTCCAGCATTTTGAAATGTATTATTCTTTTTTGTAACATCCATTGATCATCTACCCAATGGCAAGTCACACATAAATAGTGATATTTATAACCACTATCCCAAGAATCGGCTGTTAAAGATACTCTACAGTTAAGGTTACTCAATTCGGCTTGTAACCGGACTTTGTACTCTAGGAAATTTTTCATTGCGGCGGAACGAACGGTTTTCCTAGAGATTCTTTTATGTTGGGGTTGTAGTGCTTTGTTAATGTAGGTGTTGAATACGTCACTTTCCGAGAAAAGAAAAGGTTGTTCGGCGTGTACTATCATTTTTCCTAGTTCATCCCTATCCCTCTCATAGTTGTATGTAAAGCCGTATGGATGGAATTGGGAAATTTTGGGCTGGGTTGGATCACTAGCTGGTTTTGCACAAGCTTTCATGTGTCTAGATAAGTGTCCCATCCCGTTTTTGGTAACTGCCGTGAATACACTATTACATGTTTTACATTTTGCCCATTGTTCACCATCTTTACTTAGGACAAAATAACGCCATACCTCACTCCTTCGGTTTTTCAAAAGTAGCATCTCAGTTTCGGTTAACCATTCATGATGTGTGTGATGGTTAGTAGGGGGACTAGTGGGAGTGGCAGTAGAAGGGGTAGAACCGGAGGGAATTCGGGTACTTTCTTGGCTACCTTGGCCCTAGAACAATAGTTTTGTTGATTACCGATATAATTAGGTGGAAATTGGTATGGTGGTAGTGGAAATTGGTTTAGTGGTGGTGCTGGAAATCCCGACGTATTATATGGCTCATAGCCCGGGGGGAAGTAAATGGGGTCATTGGTTTGACTCGTAATTTGGGGGCTCGTTGTATTTGGTGGTTCCCTAGAACTACTACTACGGATAAGTCGGCCTTTCCCCCTAGACCTAGATGATGGGTTGTTCGATGCCATAATTAACAATTAATTTTTTAATAAAAAGTGGTTAACTATAATAATAATAATTAATAACAACAATTTTAACAATAAAAATATCAATAATAATAATTAATAACAACAACTATAACAATAACAATAACAACAAAAATAAATAATAACAACAATTGTAACAATAATAATAATTAATAACAACGATTATAACAACAACAATAACAATTAACAACAATAATAATTAAACAAGATTATTCTAATAATAACAATAAAACAATAATAAATTTAAGGTTAGTTTAGATCTTACAACCGTGCTTCAACGCTCCACTAATTACGATTACGAACTTTTTAATTTTTTCCGATATTAGGAAAATAATTAGAGAATTTAAGAGAATAATTAGAGAATTTAAGAAAATAAGGATTATTAGAGATTTAGAGAATATAAGAGATAAGAATAAGAGATTGTGATTTTGTGATTTGGGAATGAAATGGAGGTGAGTATTTATAGAATTTTTGGCAAAAAACTAGCCGTTTATAGCCGTTTAACTAGCCGTTGGCCTGCGGGCCGTGCCTGCGGGCCAGCACGGCGGGCCATGCCCGTGCTCGTTCCAGGCTGTGCCTGGGAATTCTCCACCGTGTCCGTGGCACGGCCCGTGGCACGGAAGTCGAACTTCGTGCCGTGCCGTGCTTGACTTCGGGCCGTGCCGGGCTGCTCCGAACGGCGGGCCGTGCCGGGCGGCACGCGGGCCAACCCGGCCCGTGCCCAGGTTTACTTTAAACCGTATATACAATAATAAGGTGCAAATTTTAAACCGTATATACAATAATAAGCTAAAAATAAAGATTTCAACTCAAAATAACATTTCTCTACTTTAAACCGTATATACAATAATAAGCTGCAAATTTTCAAGTAACCACAAATAAAAACTTGACAGTTATACTATTATCAATTATCATAATTATCATCATCATCATACGTACTTTAAACTCTTATAATTAATCAACATTCGTCATTCAAAATTCTACAGAAAAAAATCATCCAAAAATTCAAATCAGATACAAAAAACTCACCTTATCAAGCAGAAAATTAGGGTAAACCTGAGTAATCCTAAGATGACAAGCACAACTTAATTATCCAAAAACTAATTAAAATTAGAAATATTGAAAACATTAGATCTACATTCTAAAGTCTAAACTAGATCTAGAATACAAAAACCTCAAATTGAAGAGATGTACAACCCTACCGACGAATTCAAAAACCAACATTATTAAACCGTCAAAAAACCCACAAATTTTATTAAGCTAGAAGTAAAAAACCTTAAATTGTCGGGAATTCAGATGTACGGTGGTTAGTGAGTGGGTTTCTAGATCTTGAGGGATGGCGGGCTAGTCGGAAATTCTAGATCTAAGGATTGTCGATGGCGGCTGTCAGAGGAAGAAAATGAAAGTTGATGATCTACGCCTCTTCGGATTGTCGATGGCGAAGCTAAGCCGCCATGAGTCAATGACTGTTGGCTAGTATGCAATTGTTGGCTAACGGTGTGCGAGGCCGAGAATCTTCAGTGACGGTGGAGCGGGCTAAAGTGAGGGTAAGGAGAACAGGAGAAATGAGAGACTGAGAGGAGAGGAAGAAGAGGAAAAGTGGAGAAACAAGAGACTGAGAGGAGAGGAAGAAGAGGAAAAGTGGAGAAATTAAACGAGAGACTGAGAGGAGAGGATCGGAAGAAGACTGAAAGTGCAGAGTGGCAGTGGAGTATTAGGATTTAGACCAAATCCGGACCGAAACTGGAATTCTTGAATTTCAGGGACCAGGTCCGGATCAGGTCTGGTATCAACAGGTCCGGTTCTGTTTATGTGCACCCCTAAATGCAGTATTGTAATTAAATTACGTGCTTTCAATTGTATTGGAATCTCTCAAGATTTCAAACATGACAATTGACAACCAATTAGGAGCAGATTGGACTATTGGAGGGAGTATTAATTTTGCCCTATATCGTCTTTGGAGGGGTGGGGGTGGGGAGAAAGATATAAAAAAAACTAGATAATGAATAATACACAATTCCATGTGGTTGTCCCTGAAATAATAAGATCCAAGCAAACGGAGCCAGAGACTAGAGCAAGGCAACCAACTAAATCCTATAGCATAAAGTTGAACTAGGACACCAAGCTAAAATATGAGAAAATCTAAATCTATCTTTAATTGAGATAAACTTGTAATCAATTCTCATCTCTTATAATAATACGGGCTACAAATTTTAATTCAACATTTACATTTGTTTTGAATTGGTCATGAAAATTGGGGTACCTTTATGTTTTTTTTTTTCAAGTTTGAGCACGTTGGAGCTACCCAATAGGCCAATATAGTATGTTAGTAGCCAACAATAGTTAGTTTAATTAATAGTGTGTTCTTTTCAACTTTTTTCGAATGGACATATATATTGTAGCAGAAATAATATACTACCTCCGTTAAATGTTATGTGCAACTTTGGAATGTTTTATCTCTCACAAATAATACCCAAAGTTGCACATAATATTTAACGGAGGTAGTACATGGTATCAGTTTGCTAAAAAATAAAATTTAATGTAACTAGGAGAGAATTATATATATTATTGTTATTATTATAATTAAAATTATTATTTATTGTTATTATTATGAATAAGTCTTGTGTACAATGGGTGTACATTAATTCTATTGTAAAACGGTCAGTTTAAGCGTAACTTTAACTATTTTTATGGTAACTTTAACCACTTAAAGAGTAACTTTTATTTTGTTGTTGGTTTGAATTTTATTTTAATGTGTAATTTCTTATAAATACGTGATTGCATACTATAAATACTAATATGATTAATCTAATACATTTTAAGTTTTTTGTAAGATAAAATTTATTAATAGAAAAATAATAACTTTTGCATTATAAAGGGTAACTTTAAGTATTTTTAACATAACTTTAACTCGTTTTATCATAAATTAACGTACACCTGCCTTTTTGAAGAAATTGTGTATTATTATTGAGAGGGTGTGTGTGAATGCATTGACAATGCTTCGGACAAAAAAAAAAAAATTAAAAAAAATATAATATATATGCAAATTCAATCATTAGTTTTAACCATGGTCTTGGCTTGAAACGTTTGTTTTGGTAGTTTTAGGAAGGTGTTAATTCTCTTATGAATTGTTTGTTAGATCAATTAAATTTATCAGTCGCTTTTACTTAAACTCTTTTCCTTTCGGATCCTTATAGAGTAGAGTTCGAGGGTGAAATAATTCGTTACGAGAAGCAAAGGAACCTAGAATCCACAATTATGTTGTCAAGCAATAAGAAATAAGTTTATCTAAACTGATGAGGACTTTTACGTTTACCAAATAATTTTCATTCAATACAAACAAGCTAGCAACACTTTGACATTCATACTTCATCAATTTTATTTACTACAAGTATTAGAAACAAAAAAGTACTCAATTCTTATTTCTTACTTCACCAATTATAATATACTTGTAGTACATTAGTACTCAAAAAGCAATAGTAAGTTACATGCACTTGCGAAGTGAAGCAAAAAATTATACGAGTAACAACTTATTTCTTCAAACAAAGGCAGAATATAAAGCAACTAGCTAAGATTGTCTATTTAAGGTCACACACAACATCAATGGTTCGATCAACACCAATTACAAGCGCGCTTACATGTACGTACGTACGTGCACCTCTACTTGGGAACCCAGATGATGGTATCCTCAGCAGCTGGGAAATGGCAAATATGAGTACTTCCTGGCACAATCTTAAGAACATTTTTCGCGTAATTGTCCAAGAAATCATTCGTTTCCATGTGACACGCGACAACTGCTTCTATATTGGTACCATCTTTTCCTACTAAGGAGGCCATGTAAGACCTTATTGTCTTCGTCCTGTGGCAGAAAAACACGGCGTAAGGGTATCCAATCTTATGGCAAACCACGGTCTCACGATCATCTTTAACAAGTTTTTTCAACCCCTTGATTGTATTCTCCGTTGTTGAGTCTTTCTCTACTTGTGTTGTGAGTGCTTTCACATTTGTACCAATCTTGGAGATAACATAGTCTACCATGGACTCGAGTGAGGTCACACATTTCTTCTCGACTCCTTCGATTGTAGGCTCCTCGCAAAGCTCGATCCTCTTTGAGAGAACATATGCCTCTTTTGATTTAGGGTCTAAGGAAAGAATTTGGAGAGTTTCTTCAACTTTATCGGATGAAAAGGGTATTTGGTTGGAAACTTCACGAGGTAGGAAGAGACCCTTTTTGACGCTCTTTTGGAAGTGCAAGGTCTTTTTTGCTCCTACATGAAGATCTTTCTCAACAAAGAAAACTCGATCTTTGGTTTTGCTACTAGCATTATCATCAACATGGAATGACTCTTCGGCATGGTCTGGCTTAGTGTAAGATAAATACTTAGGATTGTTGGAGTTTAGACCTTGCTTATTGTAAGCTAGATACTTTGGGCTTCTAGATTGCAATCCTTGCTTATTGTAAGATAGATATTTTGGATCAAGGGAGTCTAAACCTTGTTTATTGTAAGAAAGGTAGTTAGGATTGTTGGAGTTCAATCCTTGCTTATTGTAGGATAAATACTTTGGATTTAGGGAATCTAGACCTTGTTTCTTGTAAGATAAATAGCTTGGATTTTTGGAATCTAATCCTTGCTTATTGTAAGACAAATACTTTGGATTTACGGAGTCTAAGCCATTTTTATTGTAAGAAAGGTATCTTGGATTGCTCGAGCCCAACCCTTGCTTATCATAAGATAAATAGCTGGGATTTGAAGAAGTCAAAGACTTTTTGTTGTAAGATAACAATCCAATGTATGGACCATCGATACTGGCTAATGATGCTTTTGCACTTGGTCGAAATTCTTTAAGTGGCATATTCATCGATGGACCTATGAAAAGTTAAAATCAACAAAATAAATAAATAAAATAATATAAGCAAATGAAAAAAATAAAATACTAATTTAAATGTATAAAGCAAATATAAAATTTTGTAATGAATGCATTCCTATACTAATACTTCGCATCAATTAAGAAAACAAAGTAAATAATGTTCATATGCACGCTATTTATATACGTAACATCGTGTAAGAAAGTTGAACATTGAAAATAAGATCGAGATGAACCAGCAGGGGGTAGTGAGTCCTTGATAGATTGAAGCATGGGAGTGTAAGGCAGCTTAAGCTTCCAGTAAGCTTCTGGAGAAATTGATGCAGGAGCAGGACTTCCCATTCTAACCAATGCAAGCTGGAAAAAATAAAATAAAAATTATTATCTTCAATTCATTGAATGATTATATACTAAGATATTACTTTAAGAAAATAACTAAATTAATAGTCTAATATACGTAAAAGTAAAATTGCTTAAAATTATCCATGCATGTTATCTTGACAATGATGACCTTTCATACTACTCCATTCGTCCAAAATCAATTTATACTTTTCATACTTTCTTCCTTACTTGATCTAAGTTAACCTTATCCTAAATATATAATAATATATGAAGACAATGAAGTATCTTATGATAGCGATTTTATTACCCAATATTGCACTCGAAACAGTGTTATTTCACAAATGTATAAGAAAAAACTAACATTTTCACAAATGTATAAAAAAAACCCTAACATTATTATAAAGTGAAATCTTTATGCTATTGTCAAAAAAAAAAAAAAATAAAAAATAAAAAATAAAAAAAGAAATGAAAAAAGAGAAATCTTCAAATATTAAAATTTCAAAACTCTAATTTCACATAAATTTTTACTAATATCCAAATAAAGATATATTAATACTACGTAATAAGTAAAAAGAATTACAAAGTCCTGGTTTGCTTTGGTCTCAATTATTTTGGTATAGTCTAATTTAATTTGATTCTTACAAGAAATGAGTTTTTGAATTAAAGTCGTGATTATAATAAGTTTGAAATGATATCTTGTACAAGTATGTAACTAACTAAGATTAATAACCATTGAGTTTAGCCTCGTTTTATAAATTTCACTATGTATTATTATAAACTCAATGAATCAAAAATAAAGCAACGCATCATGCATTGTGTTGAATAGAGGACTTACAAAGAATAATAGGAAGGAAAGGAGGTTTGCCATCATTAATTAGAACCTTTTAAGTGAACTTAGAGAACTGAAAAGCTAAATAAGAAATTGTTGTGAGTGGAACTGCTTACTGCTAACACCAAGTTTTTATAATACTTTGGATATGATAACAAAAAAATAATTAGACAAAGTAATCATAGGAAATTAATTAATAACTAGTAAGTGGAATTAAAAAAAAATAAATGAACATATAGTGACAAGAGAGAGTAGGAAGATAGCAGTGATAACACTGATTTAAGAAGGATTTAACAAATGAAGTTTATATGGCAAATGTGATAGGACAAAATACTAAGATGTGTAATTAGCATCTTTATTAAGATATATTTAATCTTAGGTAAATATATCATTATATAATAAAAAAAATTTAGTTTAAGTGTTGGGGTTGACTTAATTGTCGATTTCTCAATTTCATCGACTGCTTGATAAATATAGGTTTTGCATTGGCTAGTACTCTTCAATAATAGAAAGTTTGATTTCGGTTCATCACTTATAATTTTTTGTTAACTTCTACAATGTAACTCAATGAGACAACTCACCTATAGGTTTTACAAGGACTTCAATGATCAATTCTACTAATAGTTAACAATTGAGGACTGAGGTCTTAACTCATCACGTATTGCTATGTGTGATTCCGGTCCTTGTACTATTTAATTAAAAAATATGTACACATAACACGACAATAAAATCAACTAAAAAAAAAGACGTTATATACGTTAAAGTTAAAAAAAGTCATATTCTCACAAAACAATATCATAAAAGGACATTGGATTTTATCATTTTAATTGGCCTCCAACCTAGCCCTTGATCAATCCTCCTATTTTACAGTAGAATTCCGTTCTACGCCTAAGTATGTTTATGTTGCATAATGATTAATTTACGATTTTGCCACTTGATAAACGGTTTTCGTAATAACTGGAGTACAATGCTGACTGGATATTTTTGTTGATTTATTTACGATTTTGTCACTTAATAGACGAAATTTGTTTATCAAGGTGATAAACTGGGGCCCCTCAAATTCAATTTGCAACATAAGCTAAAATGGATATCATTGTGATTAAATATCATCCATCTATCAGCAGCAACTTGTCATAGAGCTTTTAGCTAACTAACATAAAAAAAAAAAGACAATAGCTTCTTGATTCATATCTGCAGTCCAGTAATTTTTTAAGTGTTCCTTGGTCAGCTTATGGTCTTTCATTATTTTCTTAATAAACCAGCTTCATCATTATTAGAATATACTTGTATGTATGGAGCAATAGTTATTAAGTGCATCATAGTGCACCTAGAAATAAGTGCACCACGATTATACTTTTGAATATTTACTAAAAAAAATTGAACACTTTACAAAAAATTGAACATTTAGTATAAAAATATGAACACGTCACAAAAATTGAACATAAATGTGCCATTTTATATGTTCATATTTTATAAGGAAATGTTCATTTTTATATGCAGTAAATGTTCAATTTATATTACAAAACTATTGAATTATTACGAGTCAGAAAAACTTCTTTAAAATTTTTTAATGTTTATTATATAGTGTTATATTTAATATACTACTTGTTCAAAATTTGCGATTGTTCATATTTTTTTACTAAATGTTCAAAAATTGCGATTATTTAGATTTTTTAACTAAATGTTCAAAAGTATGGTTGGGTGCATTACGATTGTTCAATTTTTTTTTTAACTAAATGTTCCCAATTTATGATGTTCAGATATTTTACTAAATGTTCAAAAATTTCGATTATTCATAATTTTTTTTACTAAATGTTCAAAAGTATAGGCATGATGCATTGTGATTGTTCAGATTTTTTTTACTAAAAGTTCAAAATTTGCGATAAAAATTTAGATTTTTTACTAAATGTTCAAATTTACAATTATTCGGATTTTTTTACTAAATGTTCAAAAGTTTTAGACGTGGTGCACCTTGTAGATGGTTAGGTATAACTCGAACTACATTGCATCCCTCCACTGCCCGACCGGACATGCCACGCGCGCCCTGGCAGACATGACGGTGAAGATGTGCTGTACAATGTATCTTGCAATCCCCAATGCCAGGTCGGACATGCCATGCCCTGGCAGACCAAGCGGTGAGGGTAAGCAGTGTAAAGTGTCTTGTATTGGACGTTGCTTCGCGGGCCCGACCAGACACTCAATGCCCGATTTGACCGGACAGAAGAGGAATACGATAGAGACACGTGTTTTTGCTGTTATTTAGAGTTATCTAATTTATCTTGGAGCCCAAGTATCTTTTACTTAGGGATTACTATATAACCTTCCTTCTATCAGTGCTAGGGGCGAAAAGAGGGTAGAAAGAGCTGTTCTTGAGAAAAACTTGATCCATCTTTGTAATTCTTTGCAGTTTATAGTGAAATCTTTGATCTCGGTGCTCGTGAACGTAGCTATCACATTGATAGTGAACCACGTTAATTCTTGGTGTGTTGTTCTTATTGTTTGCATTGAATTTCTTTGTTGTTTCTTTATTGTTTTCGATCTTTGCTTCCGCTGTCGCACAACAATTGGTATCAAGAGCACAGGTTCAATCCTTAGAGTGTTTGTTGGTTCCTGGGAAACAATGGTAGGAGATTCAACAATAAGAATTGAGAAGTTTACCGGGAAAAATAGTTTCGGGCTATGGAAAATTAAGATGAAGACTCTGTTAAAACATCAGATATGGCGTCCAATGGCTCTAAAGAGTACTACTTCGGGGTCAAGAGACGGATTGACTGACTTGCAATTAGAAGTTACGGAAGAGAAGGCTCACTCTACCATATTACTTAGTCTGGATGATCATATCATCACGGAGGTTGCTGATCAGGGAACGATGGCTGAATTGTGGATGAAGCTGGAGTCATTGTATATGACTAAGTCGTTGACCAACAAATTATTACTGAAGCAACGGTTGTTTAGCCTCCAAATGCAGTCAGGTACTTCCTTACGGGAACATCTAGAAAAACTTAACTCTATTTTACGTGATTTGCATAATTTAGATGTTAAAATTGATGATGAGAATGCTCCGTTGATATTACTTGTGTCTCTACCGTCTAGCTTTGAGAATTTTGTAGAGTCCTTTGTTGTTGGTAAAGACTCGCTAACCTTAGAAGAAGTGAAGGCAGCACTTCACACTAGAGAATTTCGTTAGAAAGCTACAGGTGATGATGGGGATAATGGTAGTGGGTTGTTTGTTAAGTCCAGGAAGTCTAAAAATAAAAAGGGGTTTAATAAGGGGAACAATGCTGGGTCAGGTGCTGGTAACGACATGGATGGATATGGTAAAATTGCTATTAAGACCTGTTATTACTGTAAAGAACGGGGTCACTATAGGGATGATTGTCCAGTGAGGAAAAACAAGTGCCTAGCTGCTATAGTTGAGGAAAAACCGAAAAAGAACTATAATTCAAAGGAAGATTTAGCATTAGTCAGTTCTGCTAGGCTGACGATTTACCTGATAGCTGGGTTTTAGATTCGGGGTGTTTGTTCCATATGAGTCCACGTCGAGATTGGATCGATACATATGAGCCTCGCAATGGGGGTACGGTTATAGTTAGTAACAATGCTCCTTGTAAGGTCACCTGTATTGGGTCCACAAGATTGAGGATTGTTGATGGGCGGAGGTTAACTTTGACTAGGGTGCAGCATGTTCCTACTTTAGGAAAGAATCTAATTTCATTGGGTACCCTAGATGATTTGGGGTACAATGGTGTGTTTTCGAATGGGCAGTTGTGTATTTACAAAGGTTCTGAGTTGGTACTTAAGGGTATCAAAAGGAACACCTCTATGTCTTTGAGGGTGTTACACTGTCTAGTTCTGCAGTTTGCGCATCGGTGTCTCACCAGGAGATGACTAAGATTTGGCACATGAGGCTTGGTCATATGGGGGAGAAAGAGGTGTAGCTATTGTCCAAGAGCGGTCTTCTATCTGGGGTCAAAATCGCCAACCTTGAATTTTGTGAGCATTGTGTGTTTGGTAAGAAACACAGGTCAAAGTTCAGCAAGGGTGCTCACATTACTGATGTTGTGCTCGATTACATCCATTCAGATTCTTGGGGTCCATCTAGAGTTGAAGGTATGGGAGGTTACCACTATTTTGTGTCATTTGTTGATGACAAGTCCCGATACACATGGCTTAGGTTGCTTAAGTCAAAGGATGAGACCTTCAAAGCTTTCAAGTAATGGAAAGCTTTGGTGGAAAATTCACAAGGTAAGAAGATAAAGAAGCTACAAACGGACAATGGGCTAGAGTTTTGTAAAGACGAGTTTAATCAGTTCTGTGCAGATGAGGGTATAGGTCGGCATCATATCGTCAGGAAGACACCATATAAGAACGGGTTAATCAGACATTGTTAGAGAGATCAGTTTGATGCATTCTCTCTAATGTAGGTCTTGGGAGGAGGTACTGGAGTGAAGCTGTGCTGACAGCTTGTTATGTCATTAATAGGGGTCCTCATTCGGGAATTGATTTCAAGATTCCTTTTGAGATCTGGAGTGGTAAGTTGCCTAATTATTCAAATTTGAAGATTTTTGGTTGTGTTGCTTATTATCATGTAAGTGAGGGTAAGCTGGATGCACGAGCCAAGAGAGGATGTTTTGTTGGGTACGGGGATGGTGTGAAGGGGATTAGGATCTATTCATCTTCGGAGGGTCGAGTCATCCTTAGTAGGGATGTTACTTTCGATGAGAGCACCATGTATTCAATTAAAAGTACGGAGACTTCTGATTTGGGAAGGGAAGGGGACAACTTATTACAGACAGATGGGGTACTTGAGGTACATCAGTCTACCATTGCTGATTTACCTCGGATACAATATATTGATGATGATGCTGATGTTCCAGTGCCAGGTACTTCTGAACCTGAGGTTACTCCTACTCATCTCAACTCTGGGGGAGGAGGTGGAGCAATCAAATCAGGGGTCATCTAGTCAACCTGACACCATTCTTGAGATGCCTAAATGAGTTATCAAGAAGCCTATTAGATTGATTGAAGAGATGGAGGGAAGAACTTGTTGTGTTGATGAGTTGACATGTTATGCATTGAGTGTAGCTGATGATGTAGA